TTCAGTCAAATGTCTGTAATTTAGTTTTGCCTTGGAATTTAGCTGCTGTCCGTATTATCAGGGTGTCCGCGAGGCAAGAGTAATCATAAAAGGTTTAAAATATTGTCAGTAGTAAAACATTGTGAAAAATGATAATGGAATCTTTAGCTAAGGTTGGCCATACAATCATGCTTTGTTGTATTATACAGTCATTTTTGTTGTACATTCATAAACAGTCATTATTTAGATCACATATTATTTTTGACAAGTTGAAAAATAATTAATAATTATTTCGAAGTTATTAAGTTCTAGAGTAACTGAAATATTGTTGAGTCTTGACAAAAAGGTAATCATCTTTCTAAGCACAGCAGCCTATATACAAAACGTTTGGTCCAAGTTTTGGCATTACCCAAGCAGACAGAGTGTAGGTTTCTTGTTACTGTATTGTAACTTTATGATTTGTGTACTTTCAAGAAACATCTTTTTATAGTATCCTTTTTCACGTACACTGCATGTACCTTAAAAAAACATTAATTTAAAAGAGAAGGTTAGATGGTTTTTGTGCATTGAAAAATTCCGTTAATTATATAACAGTGACTAAAACTAAGTGAACAATTTTGTAATGCGAAGTTGTAATAAATGAATTGAATTTTTCTGAGGAGCCATAATTTAGTTCTTAATCTGTGAAAATAATTCTGAAATTCACACAATGATGATATACTGTAATAATATTTGACACTTAAAATTACAATTATATTGTAGATCTGAAAAAAAATTTAATATACTTTACAGTGTAAGTAAAAAAATTGAAACAATGACAATGCAACAAAGTACTGGAATAGAATTAAAATGTATTAAATCTTTTAATGTAGTTGTACATTGTAACTTTCCACATTTCTGGTAATATTTGTGCAATGTCATTAAAACAAACAGTGGCACCTATTGTGACCAAGATTTTCAATTCTGTCATTTTAGCATATTGTTTTGTACAACTTTTATGCAATGGATTGCTATTGATACTTTGCAAGTGCTTAGAGAATTAAATTTGTAGTAAATATATTGACAGAAGTTTTTATTCAAGCTGGAATAAAAGTAATTCTAACAAATCAAAATTGCTTGTTTAAAAAAAAACAAACATAAAAGTGGGGTAATTTTCAGAGTCCCTGGTCCCATACCATCTGCAAAAATGTAAAGCTCCTGATGTCATAGCTCAACGAGCAAAGAATAAGAAAAAAAATGCCTTGGTGTTTATTCCAAGGAGCCCTTCTAGCCTGTCAATATTGGTCAAGAATTGAATGGACACACAGCAGGAAGTTCTGTTAGTTTTATTTTCCTTTTGTTTCCTGTGAAAAAAGCCAGGGTTTATGCTCCTAAAAGCTGGGGAAAATCCCAGGCATTATAAGTGTTACCCCTGATTCATTCCCTACAGTAAGTCAATTCTGCTGTAGCCCCCCCATTTTTGAGGTCATAAAATCAATAACAGCATGTGCAGTGATTTTGCACACATGCGGTTGTTATTTCACTTTGTGAAATTTTGAAAAACAAATAGCATCATGTGTAAGTACAGGCAGAAAGCTTTTATTCGAATGGTCACATCATAGGATTCCATCCACAGACTCTAAAGTTAGAGTTACCTTACAAAACTTCATCAAGCACTGTGGCAGTGAAAGGGTTAAAGATAACTGCAGCCTGGACTTTTAAAGTGGTTGTTGAAAATGGATATTTTCTATGTGTGTTGAAAACAAGCCACAAATTACTAACATAATTTTAAAATAATTACGGTTTATTACATGCTCTTCCTGTGTTTGTGTTTGCCCTGTCCCCTTGTCACAACATCAATTTTTTTTTCTCATTTTGCCAAGTGGAGAACTTGTGCCATTCTTCCTCTGGCAGCGGGAATGAATAATTTATTCTGATTTGAAACTGTTTGGAATTTTCTCGTTATTTAGGTCACACATTTGCTACAGTGGAACCTCAATATAATGAACCTCAATCTATATAACAAAGTCATCAGTATAAAGAATGATTTGCTTTACCCTGTTAATAGTAAAATATATGACAAGGAACCTCAACGTAACAAAACCTTGTTATAGCAAACAAATTTTGTCAGTCCCTTGGCCCTTCAATTATCAAGGTTCCACTGTATTTTAAACAAAAAATATGTACATCTGCAAGTTAACAGAAAGTAGAGTTTTCCCTGCTGTCATTGATAAATAATCCAGAGACACATTTACTCCACAAACAGTTGCACATGCAACTCCTCACATCCATCTTTGGTTAGTATTCAAAACTTGAAAAGAGTCTTTACAGGTTGAAATCCAAGTTCCCCAGGTCAGGATACTTCATTATTCTGGAACAAAACTTTCCCTCTATGACTGTATGTGTAAAATGATGGTCTGTTGCCAAGGGATTCCCAGCTCCTGAGAAGAAAAAATGCTCTCTTGTTTATATGTTTTGTCTTTAAATGATTTACAAGAAAATGTTGGGGCACTTCCTGCAGAAAGTATGATGCAGTTTTTGTGTGTGTAGTGTTTCCTTGCGCACAGTGTCACTGAGGCTAGAAGCAGAGTTTTCCCCATTCTAATTATAAATTTGTTCAAGGCTAAGTACTTTGATGCATGACTATAAAGATGGCCTCCAATAGGCTCTTGCTAAATNTATGTTTTGTCTTTAAATGATTTACAAGAAAATGTTGGGGCACTTCCTGCAGAAAGTATGATGCAGTTTTTGTGTGTGTAGTGTTTCCTTGCGCACAGTGTCACTGAGGCTAGAAGCAGAGTTTTCCCCATTCTAATTATAAATTTGTTCAAGGCTAAGTACTTTGATGCATGACTATAAAGATGGCCTCCAATAGGCTCTTGCTAAATTAGGATTACATTAAAAAGGGGATGATGATGATGATGATGATTATTATTATAAATTATAACCAACAATGGATACCAAGTGAGCTTTTGAGCAAAAACATGATATCTTCACACTTGAAAAGATCGCCATTGCTACAGTTACATCAAAAATTGTGCCTTTTGTAGAAAAAATAGTCTAGTGAAAATGGTTTAATAATAAATAGAACGTGACATGGCCACTTGGAGATACTAAATTTCTCTTCTACTGTTCATAAGTAGAGAAATTTTGCATCTCCGTGCACCCATGTAATATCCTCTATTATAACAATGAACTTTAATAATTCTGATTTGAAACTTACTTGTTGGCCATCTCAGCAGCTGCTCTGATTTCCCTAAATTCTCCAGCTACTTTAGCTACACCCAAACATCCAATTATCAGCCCTAGAATACACTGAATACACACCTGTAACCATGACATACATAACATAACATGAGTGGAAGTGTCTACAGAGTGATACTCAGAATCCAAGATGGTGAGGTTGACTAAATGGGGACAAAAATCAACCCCCAATTTCCCCTCTGGAAAAAAACATTAGGATGAGAAAAAAGACCAAAAAAATTTCCTGAAATAAAATTCAGTTCACAAAAAGAACCATTATCTTTTTTTAACTGTAAAAATTCCTAGAAGGGTTATGGTAACCTGAGATTAATTGAGGCATTTTCAAACTGTAGCTATTTAAGCAATAGAAAACGTTTTCTGTGTTTGCATAGCCTGATATAAACACGAGAGGCATTGGGAGAATTCAAGACAGTTATGCAAACCCGGGACGAAGTCGAGGGTTTGCATAACTGTCGAGAATTCTCCCAACCCCTGAAGTGTTTATATCAGGATAGGTAAACACAGGAAAAAAGTTTTCTATTGCTTTTATAAAATAACTTTCCCGAGAAAAAAAGCAAAACTCTCTTGTTTAGAGTACTGATTAAAAGACAAATTCTTACCAGTCGCAAAGTCTTCTGTACACGAAGCTTGTACGCGTAATCAGTTCTTGTTTTGCAAAAAAGATGCTTTCAAAAATACGGGTTTTTTCTCACTTAAAATGTCAGCTCAAGTGAAAAAAAATTGACACAGCATGTTTCTAAAGATTTTCCAAGTTTCAGCCGAAGAGGAAATGGGTGAATAAAGTAAACTTGTCGAGGTTTTCAACTCAAAACCTTTTTCAAATTCGTGCTTGCGTGATTAGCGTGCGAAAAGCAAAACATCTTGATATCACAACCATGTTTACATACTCTCATGCAAACACACCTCTCGGCCAATCAGAGCGTGCGTACTATCTTAGTTATTTTATAAAGCCAGTTATAATCATAATATCGTAGGTGACGAATTACTCCTTAATTTTGGCGCGAAATTTCAGCGTTAATTTGTAATTTCACATGTGAAATTACAAAATTGCCATGGCAACCTTCCGTACATCTTAGTGTCAAGATGGCGACGAAGTTTTAAAATGCCGTGAATAAAGATGTCAGGGCGCAAAAAGACGCTTTAGAAAACCTAAACACACAAGAGAACATAAAGAAGGATTCTAACAGGTATTTTGCCGAAATAGTCTGAAAAAGTCTGAACTTTATAAGCCAAATTTAAGGTCTAAACATTTGAGAGTGGAGTTCTCGATTGATACGATCCAGGATAAACATGTCAAAAATCCAAGATTGCTAACGTAATTCGTCACCCATTATATTAATAGGTAATCACATGGTATACTCGTGAATAAAGACTCGGGAAATTATAAGGATTTGGACAAAACGCACATGAAATTATTCCCGAATTTCACTCGTTACCATTTGATTACACATACTTATCAATTAATAAAATTATAAGCAGTAAACCAGTACCACAGCATTCAATATATGTTGATCAAATAAAAATGTTAAAAAGTCAAAAGTGTCTCGCGCCTTGTTGAATGTTGAAAAAGGCCATTCAACATGTTGAACACGAATAGAGATGGGCTATTCAATGCAACAAGTTGGATATTTAATTGAAACTTGTTGAAGAAAGATAGCTGCAACATTTTCTGATCAATACTGAACCTAGCCTGCGTGCAGACGATAACTAAACTCTGAGGAGTTAACCAGAGTTTAATTTCGTCTGCGCGCAGGCTATACTGAACCGTGTGCTTAACTCTAATCAACTTACATCAAGAGGAAGACCAGGAAATTCTTCTTCCAGCAACTTATAGTAGGTTCGACCTTGAAACATTTAATAGTAAAAGTATATTACTTTGATGCATAATGAAGGATTTCGATCCAGAGATGATTAAGCTTAAAACTAAGTCTAAATTTGAGCGTTATACTTACATTGAACAGCTGAATATCCGGCGTGTAATATAGCAGCTAAACCAAAGAACACTAAAATGCGACCAAGTATTACCATATCGCTAGCAGCAACTACACAAGTTTAGTTAAAACTTAAGAAAATTCAGCACATGAACCTTCAGCTTTCCGCCATTCTCTTTCGTGCCCCTTGAAATCCCCTTTACGTAAGATTTCACATAATGTCACTTCTTCGGATTGTGCCCAGTTCTCCTCATGTATCCGCGNTACTGAACCGTGTGCTTAACTCTAATCAACTTACATCAAGAGGAAGACCAGGAAATTCTTCTTCCAGCAACTTATAGTAGGTTCGACCTTGAAACATTTAATAGTAAAAGTATATTACTTTGATGCATAATGAAGGATTTCGATCCAGAGATGATTAAGCTTAAAACTAAGTCTAAATTTGAGCGTTATACTTACATTGAACAGCTGAATATCCGGCGTGTAATATAGCAGCTAAACCAAAGAACACTAAAATGCGACCAAGTATTACCATATCGCTAGCAGCAACTACACAAGTTTAGTTAAAACTTAAGAAAATTCAGCACATGAACCTTCAGCTTTCCGCCATTCTCTTTCGTGCCCCTTGAAATCCCCTTTACGTAAGATTTCACATAATGTCACTTCTTCGGATTGTGCCCAGTTCTCCTCATGTATCCGCGCCGAGGAACTGAGGACCGGACAAGAATGCTGACAGCATCGCCTGTGATTCTTGGACCTATATTTTGAGCAAGGATTCTTTTTCCAACAGACTTAGTTATGCAACTAATTTTCCAAATAGAGAGTTTGGGTGAGAGGGAAATTGAAACGGCCCAACTCCCTCCTTAATGAACGCCCCTAAAATCAGAGTGCGCGGATATTTTTTCATCAGAGCCTGATCTCTCAGGTCTCTGGTTGTTACGCCATACTGACGAGCCCCAAAGAGGGCGAAACAGCTGTCTATGGCTACAATCCCGCTCTGTACTGTGTCGTGTTGATGTCTTGCAGAGATAATTTTCACGTAGTATGATCAGCATTGCAGCATGAAAGAAATGAAGGTAGAAAGTTCAAAATTCAAGAAACACTCCTGATAACCTCTTTTAAAAGTTAAAATGGTAGAAATGATTTTTGTCAGTTCGCAGAGCTGACGGGCAAGAGGAACTGCCTTTGCGTTAGCTATTTGCGTGGTAATATAAGTAGCCTGTATAACAGGCGCCTTATGAGCCAAGCGAGACGAACGAGGCATTTTGCGCGAAGCGCGAAACGAGTGCGAAGCGCAAAATGCCGCGTTCGCCTCGCTTGGCTCACAAAGTTCCTGTTATGCAGGCTATAATATAAGATGTGACATAAAAAGGTGAGAAACGACGAATATCGAATAGATCATTTTTATTATTTAAAATCAGACTTTGTTCAAAGGCTTGGGGAGATAAAACAAAAGAAATCTATGGCGCGCCGTTGGTTTGAAAATTATGTGCTGACGTGACATCATATGTATACGTATACAGTCGACTCCAGTTATTGCGGCCCGGGGGTATTGCGGACACCCTCGGGGGGAAGATTTAGTGTCAGTAATAGCGAGAGTCCGTAATAGCTGGGTACTAGAGAAAAAAAAAATTGTTTTCTCTTTAAACTTATGAAATAACATGTAAACGTCCCAGAAGCATTGTAGTTTCCACGATTCTTTACTTCTTTTAACTATGGACCATAAAAGATTAAAGATAATAAAATTGTAACTAGATCTAAATATGCTGTTTTATCACTTCCAAGCTCCTGCAATGACAAGAGATACCTAAGAAAGGGAAACCAAACGGAAACTCCTCTAGTAACATGAATGGCTAAAATGTTAACTTGCTGTCGAATATGATGATTTTTTTTATTGTTCTTGGCAGCTCTTTTATCGCAGAAATGCTGCACAGTATACTCATAAAAGAAACCTGTCTAACTACTTTTACAATGGAGTGTTAAAATAATTAACGCAAAATGTTTGTAAGCTCTAATGCAATTTCAATGTCTAAAATGCTGTACAGCAATCATTTGTTTACTCTTTTACAAAGAAGCGGTCAATAGTACCTTGTTTCATTAACGTCGCTTTAATTATTCTTTATGTTATGTGAGTCAAGATTTTTGACAAAGTACTCAAGTGTCGAGAGAAAAAACAAGTGAAATGTCGCGCTTGGGGGCAGGAAAGTGTCCGCATTTCCGTAATAGCGGGGGTTTATTTCAGTCATTTCTTTAAGCTTTTCGCCCAAGGGCTGGCTCTTGTCCGCATTAGCGGGGTGTCCGTAATAGCGAGGTGTCCGGAGAGTCGACTGTATGTGGAGCCATCATGTGCGAATGTTGACTGTCACGTCATCGAGTCACTATGTCACGATTTGTTCATTGGACATTGTTTGACTGCCGTTTAGCTTTTTCTACTGTTTCAGCGTTCTCATTTAAAAATACAGCAGGGGCATCCCGTTTTCTTACCCAAGGTTCCGCGGAGTTACTTTTGTTGTTAGAAATTGCGGTCTTCTTGTTTCGGGAATACTCCTTCTACAATTCCTCTAACTTTGTACAGGTCTATCTGCGATCCAAACATTTCCGGCTCCATCGATAACAATTTTGGAACCTCGCAACACCTCGGCGCAAGTGGAGATCCTTCCAACGCGAGATAGCCGCTTCCAGGAGAAGATAAACGCACTTCAGATGCAGTCACTACATCCCACACAAGCCACAGTGGTGCGTACCGACCAAACATGCTCTCATAACTCGCTTGATCAATCACTCGTGTCGTGCACGCCACTCTTAACCGATGAACTACAACAAAGAGAAGATACGGGTAAGTCGATTGTCGAAATTAGGATTAATTTCTGCTTTCGCCCATTTCCTGCATTTACCATACGTAGAGCTATACACCTCTGTTAACCTCCCCCTAGTTCAAGGTAATGCCAGGTTTATCTATTGCCCAATGAATACTTCACATAACGTGTTCGCAATTAATTGAAATTAAAAGAAATGAAAAATGAATGAGAATTCCGGTAATAATCTCGTCCCCAGGGCTTTTCCCTCAGTACATGTGAAATCTCTGGGGAAGAATTTTGCTTGCGGTAACTACGATTATCGTTACTTCTTATTTGGCCTCAAAATGACGATTATCGTAATTTTGAGGTCCCTGACCCTCACCCCAACCCATACCCTAGCCCTAGCCCTGACCCTACAAGATGATATCAATCTTCTCTCTAAAGGTAAGGGTTTCTCTAAGGGTAAGTGTCTCGAAAGCAAATTCACTCTTTTTATCTTAGCTTTGTCCCATGCGTGAACCTTCTGCTGGAAAAATACCGAGTCGAATTTAACATGGGGGTTTACATTGACTGGTGCATACTCAAAAGCCCTGTTACCAGCCGGCTGTCATTAAGAGTTGGGGGCCGGGGATTTTCCCCCGACTATTATGAACGTGGCCCCGGCTACTTTCATAGGGAAATAGAAGAAAAATAAAACCAAAAGAAATCCCTGGCTGTTTGATTCCCCGCGCCTCCTACTTGTTGTATTTACCCGGCAACTTGAAATCTTAGTGACATCCCTGTCCTGTTACCTCGATGTTCGCTGTTGTTTTCAAACTAGTGGTCGAAAATTGCTTCCATACTTCTGAGGTGGAAATTCATCGCTTAAAGCATTGCTTAACCGCTAATAAGGCCGCAAAACAACCGGGTTAAAGTTTGTCTTGTCGCGGGTTTGTTGTTTATGAACTGCGCACACTACCCAAACTGATAGAAATATAGCAAAATAGTTCTCACCTCTCTCTCAGCGATCCAAATTTTTTAATATCACTTTGCGAGGAAGAATTTGTAAACTTCCTCTCAGCGAGGAATGACTGATCCTGGGGAAACAGAATCCATTGTTTCTTTTAAACTGTACAGTTCCCTATTTTCCCGTAATTTTGTCGAGATCGAGCGCTTACTCACACCATGTAACGGAATCTCCATTCTGGAATCCGGAACCTTTTTGTTTATGGAATCTGGAATCCGGGAAAATTTTGCTTGTGGAATCCGGAATCCTGGGGTTTGGAATCCAGAATACAGCTCCACGAATCCGGAATCCCACAATATTCCATTAACGATTGGAATCCAGAATCCAAAAGTTCCACGGACAAAGACTGGAATCCGGCATGCACCGCGTGGAATACAGAATCCAAGCCTCTCTTGGGGCGAGCATACTTTCACATTTACCCAGGGGGTGGGTATTGGGGTATAAAGCGTCGTCGAGGGAGGCGTCCCTACTCGACGCTATTCTCTCGGACGTTCACCCCTCGATACGAATGAAAGTAGTTTGGCCGCACGTTATAGTAGGCGCTTCTATGTTGAGATCAACACTGAAAGTCGAGGCAAACAAAATTAGTAGGTTTCCAATGCAAAGAACGTACCGGTCATGAATTATTTGTCTTGTAGCCCATATATGATAAGAAAATTTTACGTTAAGGGTTTCATGTGCGCGGTCACCACTGTTGCGCTCGGATAAATTGCACCCTTAAGTCTTTGATACGCCCGCTCGGAAACCTTCGGATGGATCAAACAGTTTGTCGTTGGATGTCATCTTACCTCGAAGTTACCGAGAGCCATACGGCTCAGACCGCTTTATTTTTGAAGAACAAACACTGGTTCAGTGCAGCAAACAAACACTGAAATTTGATTATTCGTTCCAGTGGTTGAACGAAACTGAATTTGCATCACATAATCTGTGATGCGAAAGCAGAACTCAATAATTATGTTCCAAGCACTTAGGAATGTGATCGGTGAGGCATCAAGATAAAAGAGAGAGAGGTTAATATTACATTTGCGTTTTGATGATGAGTTGTTCCTGAGCTCCTTAAGCAATTTTCCATTCCTACCGTTTTAACACTGTTTCACGGTCAAATGCACACACTCACACAAACAAGGAAGGTGCGAAGACACGCGGAAAGGCCGAGAGGAGACAGAGATCTCAGTTCGCTTCACTCGATTTCTGGATTTCAGATTAAAGTTTGATTCGGGGCGTTCATTTAATATCAAATATGATCTGATTCGTCCACCGTATTAATTATTAATCTCTGGAATTGTAGCTAGCCCGAATTTACGTTCAACAAACGTTCTTTTCTCTCTAGCGTTTTGCCTTTTAACTATATCATAATGGTGGGCAGAAAGAGAGAAAGTATTGTCGAAAACACCGAAAATAAATTAAGTATTAAATAAGTCTGATTACATAGACACGAATGCAGTAAAGCTTATCGCTACTGTCTGCTTTGCCTTGTTAGTTTGAGAACCAGCAGTCATAAACAGACCAGCACAGCAGTTGCTCACTCAAATTGGCGTCAAAAAAAGGCGCGGCAAAGACGCGCGCATGATTTCCAGTTTCATTTATTTCTGTGCGCCATTTTACATTCCGCATAATTATGACATTCCGCAAGCCATGCCACTTGCCATTCCGCAAACTCATTCCTTCTTTTACCCTCACCGGTAAGTAAGTACTTTTTAAAATTATTTTTGAACTGAACAGAGCTATAGAAGAAACACTTTGTTTGAAGAAGAATCTACCCTTATTTGCGGGCGACTATACTACGTTGGGTTAGGAAAGTCCACATAGTTGAATGGAGATTTGGATTCAAGTCATTCCCTGACTGTTCGGTCGTTTCCATTATTTGGCAAATTAATAGGTCACTGAGTTAGGTACATTCGCGACCAAGGGCTCAGATAGAGTACTGACGATACATCACGTTTAGGGTTTCAGCTCAGTTCTCAGTTTCTTGCTTATCACTGGTAAAATGGTTATAACTGAAGACCAAAAAAATTTTATCGGTGTAAGGTTACAGTTGACTGCATTTAAGAACCGGAGCAATGCCTTCGGGTGGCCATCCCGGCATGTTTGAACTAAGATCTTTAAGGAGTTTTCTCAGTGGTACATGTACACGGCTGGCGAACAAAGATACGTTTTTTTAAAATAATTTCTTGCATAGAACTATAACTACCGAGTAGTTGTTAAGCATCTTACCCGTGGTTTGGGGGCCCTTCAACAGTAGTCGTGTTGGTATTTCTTCAATTACTCAAATTAAAAAATGCAAATTCGAGAAGAATGCATCAACACTCGAAAGGAGCTCCGACCGCATTTGAAATGAAAACGTTTCACTGAGGCAAAATTTTTAAAAAAAATAGAGTACTCTAAAAAGCCATAACCTTAAGATTAATACCACATGCTACGTTAAGGCCGATTTACACTGCACAATTTTGAGGCTAATGCTTCATGCATAAGATGTACCAACAAAGCGAATCAATACCGTAAAACCAAACCTAGGACAAATTGAAAGTCACTTCACGGTCTGATTCGTCTTTGTCTCTACCGCGAATTATCAGAGAGGAAACGCTCAGTGTCGCTGAAAAGCTTTGATATTGATAGACCGAGCAGACTATAATGGCAGACTTGACCAACCAGCCTGGCGTTACAAAATAAATAAAGGGGCTTTCCTCTTCGAGAAAAACAGGACTGATGGCAGAAGCTCAATTTAAAGTAATTTTATTGTCACCTGCTATTGGGTCGAGGTTTAGACTCCCTTTAATGATTTTCGTGGAAACGTGTACGTGTTGATAACTACGGCCGGTAGTAATTAGGCCTGCTTCAAGCGTGGTGCAACTATACCTTGTCGAACTAGATTGACTGGATTAAGTTCCACTAAAGCACAGCCCTATTTCAAAGTTTGAAACCAAGTCGTGCTAAATTGACGTGGATCACCACAAGTTTTGTCTGCTACACGGCAGTAGCGAGATCTGGTTTCAAACGTTATGTTGCTGCCGTGCTGAATTGGATTTATATCTTTATATATGCGTGAGAATTATCATAGAAACATTTTTAGAGCCGTTTAAACCGTTTTTTTTTTTCTAACTTTTTTTTTCGACAACCGCTACTCTATTCAACTGAAATTAATTCAACGTCGAAACCAACTCCTGCTAAAGTCGTGTTAGTAAGAGTAGTCGTGCTACAGTCATGACGTTGAGCCAGACTTCGCTCTGCAGGGATATCACGTTTGAAACGGGTCTAAAATAGGTAATTTTGCGCCATTTTCTTTTTTTTTTTTCTCGTTTTTAGACTTATGGACCCGAAGAATGGCAAAAACAAGCTATCAAAGGATCACCAATACTACACAGGCAGAAAATGTCAGCTTTTTCTCCACTCTTTTATTCCGATGGATGAACGATGTTCTAAAGTCTGGAAATGAACGGGCTATCGATGAAAATGATTTTTTATCTCTTAACAAAGAATGCACCGCATGCTTTTTGACAGAGCAGCTTCAATCGAAATGGACAGATGAAACAGCTAACAGCAAAAGACATGATAAGCAACCAAAACTTTGGAAAAGTGTGTTGAAGATGCTCACCACCAGGGAAGCAATGATCCTCTTTGTAACTGCTACAGTGCTTCTATTTTGTCGCGTTCTCCAACCACTGCTACTTGGATATCTCGTGAAATCTCTGATGACGGCAGAGCTACAACATCATTTTCGTCTTTATGGCTGTGCTTTAGCACTCGGGATCAATGAATTAATCGGTTCTCTCTGTTGGCACCAATTTGACTACCGCTGTGAGGTCTTTGGTATCAGAATTAGCAGCGCCGTTAAAGGATTAGTGTATGTAAAGGTAACGAAAAAAAAAACAAGTGACAAGTAAGGACCAGTCTTAAGGCATATGTACAGCACTGAGCCCCGTGCGAACGGAACAACATTGCTGGCCAACAACTTTTAACAGATGTTACATGTTGCGTCTGTTTGCACACCCTCTTGCATGTTGTTGCGTCCGTTTTCACGTAGCTTTAAGATTACAATCACCCCCTCTCCCTTTGTAAGGCTTTTTACTTCCTTCACTATTACTTTATTCTTCCTGTTTTCAATCATTTTGTTAAGACTCATCCTGACAGATTCTTTTATACTTAAGAATCACTTTCTTTCTGGGACGCATATCACCGAACGCCTTCGAAGACTTCAAATGTTAGCTTTTAGCGCCATGATTCACTATTATTCTTTACATCACTCTGTCAATCATAAATGTGTCGTCGTCAACGGTTAATATGACCACCTCCTTTAAGAGTTGAGGATTGTTGTGACCACGCCCCACTCCTTGGTTTTGTTTTATTTATTTATTTATTTATTTTTTTGGCTTGTTTGTTTGTTTGTTTTTTAAATTTGAGCTCTAATAACTAATCAATGGTTTGGTCAATCCTTGACCCTTGACCATGTAACCTTCTTTTTATTGCATGCTTCTGTAAAATATTTACTGTAAAATATTTACGAGGAACCCACGTTTTTTTGCAGACTCTTCTCCTCAGCAAGGATTCATTGCTAAGGATTTCAACTGGCCACGTGATAGATCTCGTATCGAACGATGTTCAGCGATTGGAAGGCGAAACCTTCATGTTATTGTTCCATGCAGCTCATTTCTTTTTAGAGTTTTTAATAGTAACATTTTTCGCCGTCTATTTCATCGGATGGCAGGTTATAATGGGATTTATCTTGTTGTGTATTCTTCTGCCATGCTTTAGTGGACTGTCCCATGGTGGAGCTGTACTGCGCCTGCGTACAGCAGCGGTATCTGACCGCCGCATCTCGTTGATCAACCAGGTTGTGTCTGGGATCCGCGCCATCAAAACAAACGCATGGGAAGATGAATATAAAAAAAAGATAAAGAACGTGAGGAGGTAAGGAAAATTTCAACAGGGCTACCACTGCGCTATTTCTTACGATAAATATGCGCATCGTTTTCCTGGCAACATTTTTTTTTTTGTCCTATTACAAATCCATGGGATTTTGTTTTTTTTTTCACCCCATTTAATGTAATCCGGATTCAGACATTCGAGAATTTTAATTTTTGTTTGGAATCCGGAATTCAAGCTCCACTGACAGCTGAAGGGATCCGAAGTCCAGTACTTAGAATTCGGAATCGACATTGATCGAATCTCCTTACCTACACTTTCTAAAAGTTCTTATTTTTTTCCTGGTTGGTAATGCCATACCTGTTTGGCGCGAAATTCACCGGTCGAAAATTCTATCGTCGACGTCATGACAATTGACCAATAGGACATCAGCCATCATGATTAATTTCGAAACAGGAAACAGGAAATAATATATCGATAAGAAAAATAAGTGTTTGACATCTCATATCTGTTTTCTTTAAAGTGATGAAATCAGTTGGATACGTAAGAAAAGTGGCATTCTGTGGTGCATTGCTGCTGTGGAATACATTTCAACACCAATGGCGTCCCTGGTGACTGTCATCACTCTTGTACTAACTGGTAAGCCTCTGACACCAGTTAACGTCTTCATGTTACTCTCCTTTATCAATCTCCTAAGAATGAGCGTCAGTATGGGTCTATCCTCTTTTTTCCTCCTTTCATACGATGCCTACGTCTCACTCAGTAGAATACAAGACTTCCTCCATTTGAATAATCTATCACTAGTGAACGCCACTGCAAATCAGCGAGAAGGAACTGAAAAAGTGATTTTTCCTTCCATCGTAGCAGAACTAGCAGAACCAGCTTCACGAGTCAGAAACTTAACGCTACGCCGACAGCTTGATCAGAAGGATGAGTCCGTTTTGCAAGGTATCAGTTTCATCGCTAGACAAGGAAGTTTAATAGCTATAACCGGACCAGTGGGCAGTGGCAAATCTACTCTTCTGTCAGCAATTGCTGGCGAGATACCAGACAAAAGCGGAGCCATAACCTTCAAAGGAACTGTTGTTTATGTGCCACAGATTGCCTGGATATTCTCCGGAACTATTAGAGAAAACATTTTGTTTGGCGAACAGTACGAGAAATCCAAGTACGACAGAGTCATTGAAGCTTGTGCTTTGACCCAAGACATTCAGGGTTTCCCAGATTTTGACCAGACAATTGTTGGAGAGCATGGTGCGGTTCTAAGTGGAGGCCAGCGGGCAAGAGTAAACTTGGCACGGGCAGTCTACGCCGAAGCAGACCTTTACTTGTTGGATGATCCCTTAACTGCTGTGGACTTTAAAGTTGGCCATCACATCTTTAGGGAATGCATCAAAGGCTTACTGGGAGAGAAAACCCGGTTGATAACCTCCCATCAAGAAAGGATCATGCGCGAAGCCGATGACGTTATTGTATTATCTAAAGGCCAGATATTGGGAAAGGGGAGTTTCACTGAGCTGAAAGAAAATGGTATTCTGAATACAACTGTCGATTCGCTGTATGAGCAAGTGAAAGAATCTGATGATGGAATTGGAAAGGGATTCGAAAGTGAACAGGAGAATCAAATTGCTGACTTGAAAGGTACAATTGCACCGCATAACGTGGAGGGCATGCAGCTATCGGAAGAAGATCGAGCTATCGGGGTGGTGTCACCTAAACTTTACTGGAACTACTTCAGAAGCGGAGTACCTTTGCTGGTTATCATCGCAGGAATTTGCCTTTGTTTTCTCACTCAAGGTAACGTGCAGATTGTAGACCTTAAACTAACTGACACACTCAGGGGCATCCAACGGCAATTTTCGGGAAAATATCTGTTCGGAAGACGATTTGAGATCTAGAGTTTTCGGAGCATTTGTTGTGAAATTTCTTGCTTGCCTGCCTCTCCTAGGATTTTTGAACATCGACAAAATGGTATAATTATCCATTTTTAACGGATTTTGACCCTAAAAAAGGCCACCTAGAATTTTCGGTAGCCTTTTCCTGGCTGAAATTTTCGAGAAGGTACGTTTTTATCCCTATAATTTTCGGATCACTAGACTTTCCGAACAGATGAAAAGTTTTTAGTTTTTTTTGCTAGGTATGTGCTGCTGGCCTCTGGGAGCCCCTACCCCATTATATAAGTCTGTTCTGTGGCCTATCCTAGACCCCATGCATCTTAGTTACTTTTGGGCAAATCTGTAATTTTCGCGATCCCAACTCAGTCACTTTGTATTTATGTATCTACCTTATTGAAAATAGGTCATCCTAAAATGACTCCTAGGCGGAGAATTTGCCAACGTCCGCTTACAGAAACTCGTTCACAACAATGTATTTTCAAAGACCTCAACATTTTAACACTTTAATGTGCATGCGTTCATTACGAAATGCCAATTTTTTTGGTTTTTCAGTTATCAAGATGTTCATACCCAGTCGTTTATCATGGTAGTTGCCAGTCACCGTTGGCTTGGTGTTCGCTTAGATTCTCTCTCCGCTTTGTTGACTGGTGTAGTGGCTCTTGCTGCGCTTTTTGTGTCTCAAGATGCTGGTAAATATAATCTTATTTATGTAAGCGCAAAATGGGTGATTTGATTTCTTACACTTGTTTAAGTTAACAGAGAGGACCACGAGTCTTTTCCATGTGTACAAGGTGCCAGTTAATGCGCNAATGTGCATGCGTTCATTACGAAATGCCAATTTTTTTGGTTTTTCAGTTATCAAGATGTTCATACCCAGTCGTTTATCATGGTAGTTGCCAGTCACCGTTGGCTTGGTGTTCGCTTAGATTCTCTCTCCGCTTTGTTGACTGGTGTAGTGGCTCTTGCTGCGCTTTTTGTGTCTCAAGATGCTGGTAAATATAATCTTATTTATGTAAGCGCAAAATGGGTGATTTGATTTCTTACACTTGTTTAAGTTAACAGAGAGGACCACGAGTCTTTTCCATGTGTACAAGGTGCCAGTTAATGCGCCGCACCTAAATAAAAATATAATAATTTTAGTCTTAATGATGTATGAAATAAATTGATATAAATGAAAATGAAGAAAATGATCGTCGCAGTGAACGCAATTTATGCAATTGCGTAAAGAAGCCTGAAAAAAAATTAGGACTTCAACGGGGTTTGAACCCGTGACCTCGCGATACCGGTGCGATGCTCTACCAACTGAGCTATGAAGCCACTGACGTTGGGAATAGGTCAATTGTGGGTTCATATGTTCCCGTGAATGAATTTTTTTCAGGCTACCTTACGCAATTGCATAAGTTGCGTTCACTGCGACGATCATTTCTTCATTTTCATAATAATTTCAATTACAATAATAGTCATATTTATTGCATGATATTGCGCAGATTAACATATTAAAACATGATCATATGCACATTACAATATATAATACTATTACTAACAAAGCTGACTAAAAATGTACATATTATTGAATGTATCCTATAATTTCATGAATGATATTAAATAAATAAATGAATCGCTCTTACATCGAAAAGAGAATGAATATTTTTCACAGACGTCACAGCCGAAATCACTGAGGACCCCTGGGAGCAAAGCTGACGCTAGAGTAGTTTAGGCTTAACGAGAAAACATAAATATATAGATTAAGCCAAGGCTAAAGGAATTCAGCCGGCGATCGGTTGAAAACCAGTAACTTGTCAGCCGATAACTTAAAAAAACACGCAGCCTCGACGATTAGACGGCCTGTTCCCTTGATACAGTCCTTTGGTATTGGTCAGCGGATACCCTCTCTTGACAGCTGTCATTTGACCACAACATGGATGCGCAATATCAAGTTGCAGGCTCCCTGGCGCCCTTTGTTGAGGACGGGCGGTCGGAAGGACGTACGGTCACGTGACTACCAAAAATTTGTCGGATATTTAGAAACCAAATTCGGCTACGAAGCGCGCAAATTAGCCTTGCTTTTACGTTTTTGCGTCAATCCAAAGTGAATGTGAATGCCTACTCGTTTTCAGTAATTTTGGTAAATTTGGCTGTAGCAATTTTTTATTAAGGATTACGCACATCTCTGAGTCTTTTATTTGTATGAAATGGATGGACGCGCTTACCCGATAAAGTAAAGTTTTTTAAAGTATTCTAATGTATTTACAATTCATGATTTGAGTTCGGCACGGCGGTACTGATGACGTTTGAAACTAAGTCGTGTTGCAGTCGCGCTGAAATCGAATGTAATTCGATCAACTGAGTTCTTCACGGCAGTAGCACGACGTTTGAAACAGACCTTAGGTTTGCTGCATAAATAGCGTCAGCTTGTGGGCTATAACGTCACATTTAGTGATAATACGTTTATCAATTTCCGTTTCAGTTTTCGCTGGTCTTGCACTTGTTTACGTAGTGCAGTCTGTAACTCTGACGTAATACACTGTCCGGAAGTCATCAAAGGTCGAAAATTTAATGACGTCAGTGGAGCGAGTTATGACCTACACCGAGGTTGAATCTGAGCCTGGATACCAAGTGAAACAGAATCCCCCGGAAATGTGGCCTGACGAAGGAAATATCGCATTCAAAGACGTATACCTGACTTACTATCCGGGTGGTCCCCAAAGTCTAAAGAAAATCACAGTTAACATCAATGGAGGAGCCAAGATTGGCATTGTGGGACGCACGGGCGCAGGGAAATCTTCTTTAGTGGCAGCACTATTGCGCATGCCTGAAGCTGACGGAGAGATATTGATTGATAATGTTAGTATAAGAAGTGTCAACCTTCAAGAATCTCGGCGAGCAATAAACGTTCTTGGGCAAAATCCTGCTCTCTTTAGTGGATCGGTAAGAAGAAACCTTGATCTGATGGGACAATTTCAAGACGCAGAACTTTGGCGAGCTCTGGAACAGGTGCAAGTGAAAAATCTTGTAGAGAAATTGGAAGGTCAGATGGATCATGAATTGCTGGAGCACGGTGCAAATTTAAGTGTTGGAGAACGGCAACTTATTTGCTTGGCTCGCGTTCTGTTGCATCAAAAGAAAATCGTCATCTTGGATGAGCCAACTGCCCACGTTGATCCAGACACAGAACAAACAATCTGGAAAACAGTGCGTGAGAAGCTGAAGGATTCCACGATTATAACTATAGCACATCGTTTAGAAACAGTAAGTGACTGTGACAAGATTTTAGTTTTGAAAAATGGAGAAGTTGATGGGTTTGATAGATTTGATATCATTATGAAAGCGAAGAAGGCACTTGGTCCAAGTGAATAGAGTAGCCCTCCATACAAGTAGCTGCGGTTAAATCAATGACGCCAACTACCGCCATGTATAGCTCACCCTTATGTAGTCTCTAGAACCCATCTATTCTAATTCCTTAAGCGGGTAAAAGTTTCCGTGTAAATGGCTGCCGTCTGAATATGGTATTAAGCATGCATACTGCTTTTCCTGGATCACAGGGATTGAAATCATTTTCCTTGAAAGCGCACAAGACACAGTTTAACCTAAGGAAATATGTATATGCAATAAACAAGCAATATTCTTACGCATTATTTTTTGATAAACCAAATGATACTTTGATTTCTTAAATGGAAAACAAAGAAAGTTTTAGTAAGAACAGCTTTTTTTTCCTCAAGCTTTTTGATAAGTTTCTTTGATACAGTGTTTTTGATATGTGTTTTATTTTTCTCTCCGAACTCCAGTCTACTCCAGTCATGCACTGTAGACTTTAGACTTCAAATCGCTTTTTAGGGCCTGTTTAAATGGAGGTGGGGGACCCCATTGAGGGGGATTTACCCTCTCAGCTGGGGTCAAATTTTGTCATGTTCACGTCTCAAGGTGGGGTAAGCCGGGTAGCTGCGGTCGGATTCGTGTTAGATCAAATTTGTTGATTGAACAACGAACTGCCTTTGCCGGAGGCTTTGCACCATTACTAATAAGTGACATTATTATACATTGTACTCACTATCTCTCTTCTCATTGGTTAAGAGCCTACAGCTAATTTTGGAAATCCGCGCAACCTACAGATTAGTCAGTTACCTGCTAGCAGATAACTAACTAATCTAAGAAAATCTCTCTGACTAATTTCAGAAACCTAATGAAGCTACCTAATCTCTGAACATTTTGAGGAATTTTTTCGAAAGCTTCCCAGCTCAAAGGATCGAACAAGGGCGACAACTGCGTTTGCGGCTCGACTTTTTGTCCAACAGTGTTTTCAATACTTTCCCAAGTGTCGCCCCAAGTAAGAGAATCCGGATTCCTGAATCCAGGAAATCTTTGCTTGTAAAATCCAGAATCTGGTAAATTTTTCCTTCCGGAATCTGGTCTTCGGAATCCGGAATACAGCTGAAGGAATCCGAAATCCCACTAACGATTAGAATCTGGAATTTGGAATCCACAGCGTAGAATCCAGAATCCAATACTGTTATGCATTCCGTTAAATACCCAATTAAGCCACATCGCTGGAAATGTTAATTTTTTCCCCGAAAGGACCTCCACTACCACTATTCCTTCTGCGAGTTGATCCTCTTCAACTGGCAAATACTTAATCTTTTCCTTGGCTTCAGCAGCAAAACGAGTGGCGTTCCCCTGTGTTGGGAAAAGCCAAAGTCCGTCGGCTCTTGCTATGAGCGACTGTAACATTCTTGCCATTCTTCAACACGGATATCACGTAGCCCCTTCCCGATTATTAGAGCACTTTTTTGGCCTTATTTGGTTAAACAAGCATTTTTTTCACACTTTTTCTGTAAAAAGAATTGCAAGCATTATTAACCATTTTGCATAACTTTTCCCTAGATTTCGGCACTCAAAAGATTTTAAATGCTAAATTTCAGAATTCAAAAGCATTATCATGATTTGATTTGGTGTTTGAGTGAAGGATTTCTGTAACTGACTGGGAACTGCGGAACTGAGTGCAACTGCACGCATCCGAACTGACTCGAAAGAAGTCTGGACCTGGCTGGTCAGCGGTTTACTTTCACCTCACGCGCTTGCTCTAACAAGATGGCGTTGGCCAGTGCCACGCCATCTTCTCGAAACTTGCAGGTCATAGAAGGAAATTCTGACGGACAACGTAGACCAGTCCCTTCAACGATAGCTCCAGATCGATCTTAAGATCAACCAGTGAAAAGTACAAGCGGAGAGGAAACAGCGATACAACGGAAGTCCATGAGCGAGCGTCGTGTCACAGTACAACAGGCGCAAACGACCTCGAACATTTATTAACCGTTTATCATGGGACAAGTTTTGGTTGTATCAGAAGTTTTATAAACAAACAATTAAGTACTTTTCACTTTATTCAGTTGATGATAAGCATACATGATGCCTGAGTTTGTACGTTTTCCTTGAAATAAAACAAAGCATTTTCCGGAACCAAAGTAGTATTATTTTGAACCAAGAACGAGAAGTCCAAAGGCTACTGCAAAGCTGATTTAAAACAACGTGTATTGTTTTTTATAACAATATTTCGGCTGGCCATACCAGCCTTCTTCAGGTTTACAGATATTAGTGAACTTATGTAGCAATCACAATATTATATAGAAGGAGAATGTCGCATAAAAATTGTTTAAAAGGGAGAGGCGGAAATGACGTACAACACAAAAACTGGAAAGGAAAAATACTAAAGAGATGGATTACAATAATTCGTCACGGCGGATTAGGCCATGAGGTTCAAGGGTCATGGCCTTATCTATCAAATGCGACTCCCTGGCCTTACGAACTGAGTCACGTGAAGAATGAATTTTCTCTGGTGGGATTAAATGCATGTCATTATGAGAGTGGTTACATTGAACCATGTAGATCACGTTTTTAGTGTTACAAGTAATGTGTGAAGTGATTGAGCGTGTTTCACCTGTAGCGTAAAAGGTATAACGTGTGAGGCCGTTAGTAATATGTGGACAAGTGGCACAATTCTGTCCACAGCGGAAGGAGCCTGGCGGAATATGATTTTTAGAGTTAACGGGTAATTGTGCTTTAACTAAAATGTCACGAAGATATTAGAGCTGGGTCTGTAAGCAACAAAAGGCGGTTGCTTAAAGACGTCTTTGCAACGGTTAGAAGAGTGTAAGATGTTAACATGTTTGTGTAGGATATTAGAAATGCGTGGAAGTGCTGGGTTATATGTGACAACAAATGGTACAACATCGTTAGAAGCTTTAGGTTTAGTCTGTAACGCGTTAGTACGAGAAATATTAGCAGCGCGTAGGAACCGTTCTTCTAGGAAATTATATTTATAACCACGAGCAAGGAAATATGTTTTAAGTTCATTAATGCGATGTTTAAACTTAGCCTCTGTAGAGCAGATACGGCGAAGGCGGAGGGCTAAGCTGAACGGAATGGCTTTCTTACAGTGTGGTGAGGATGATGAGCGGAGAAGGTGCTGATGTTTATCCGTGGGTTTAGTAAATAGATCAGTTTCAATTATACCGTTATGCAGAGACACCATGACGTCGAGAAAAGGAACGTTAGTAGGTGAGTGAGAGCTAGTGAACTTAATAGTGGGATGAATGTTATTGAGATAATCGACGAATATTTTCAAACGATCCGAACCTTCTGTCCAGATCATGAAAATATCATCGATATATCTCCACCATGTGTGAGGCTGCCAAGGGGCGTTAGTGAGAGCGTTGGTTTCGAACATACCAAGAAAACGTTTAGCAAAAGAAGGAGCCATTTTAGTGCCCATAGCAGTACCATGGATTTGAAGACAATGCTGTTGGTTAAATGTGAAATTATTCATGGTGAGAATCATGCGTGAGAGATCAGTCACATAGTGTCTCTGAGGGGATGTGTTTGTTAGGGCGGGTATCAAGAAAATGACGGCATGCATCAATTCCTTGATTGTGTGGAATGTTGGTGTAAAGCGATGACACATCAAGAGTTACAAGAATAGCGTTGTTAGGTAGGTTACCGAGGTTAGAAAGTTTATTAAGGAAGTCAGTAGTGTCTTTAATGTGTGAATCCAAGGTAGAGACGAGAGGGTTAATGTGGTAGTCAACAAATTGTGAGATGCGTTCAGTAGGGTGGCTGTTAGATGAAACTATGGGGCGTTTGTTTGTACTAGGTACTTTTTTAGTCTTTTCGTCAATGTAACTGTCGTTAAACATACGTTCAATGTAAACCGTAACACGTTGTTGAATAGTGTCAGTAATGTTCCCGTCTAGTTGTCTGTAGAATTTAGCGTCATTTAACTGTCGGTTGCACTCGTCTAACCAAACATCACGCCATCACGCCATCACGTTTGTAATCCATCTCTTTAGTATTTTTCCTTTCCAGTTTTTGTGTTGTACGTCATTTCCGCCTCGCCCTTTTAAACAATTTTTATTGCGACATTCTCCACCTATATAATATTGTGATTGTTACATAAGTTCAGTAACATCTGTAAACCTGAAGAAGGCTGGTATGGCCAGCCGAAATATTGTTATAAAAAACAATACACGTTGTTTTAAATCAGCTTTGCGGTAGTCTTTGGACTTCTCGTTCTTGGTTCTTTATATTTTGGCTGATTAGATCTCTTTTTTAGAGATCCAACGTTTACAACTAGCAGGATCTTCGTCCACGGTTTTTGCAGTTAATTTAATCCTTTATTATTTTGAGAATCTAGCATAATTTGAGTATTTTTCTGGCGTCAAACGATAATTGTTAGGAGCATAAACTGCCAGTTTTACTAGCATAAACGGGAAAGTCCTAATGTTATGTGCGATGATAGAGTCGTCCACTTCCTCTAAACTGACATCACTGTGTGGTGAACACGGCACCACCATAATCTTCTTCAAATTCATTTAAAAAGGTGCTCATTTTTCAACATACAATGTTCCCAAGGTTCTCGGGTAGGATGCTCATTTTTTCGTTCATTTTGCTTCGCGAAAGTAGCTGTTTTCCCACGACTAATGTTATCTCTATATTTGCATTCAGTTTGATTCAGCGATTCGTAACTTGACCCAACGACCGGAAATTAAAGTTCCAAAAAAATTGAGTAATGTTGTGCATAGACCTCTGGCAATCACATCACCAGAAAAACTTAATTGTAAGATGACCTCAAATCCGGGAAATACCCTGGCAGCCAAAAATAGCGTAAGCGCTCCCTGTTGTATCCTTAACATGACGTAACCTTCTCTTAAGGTCCGAGATTTGGGAGGAAAAAAGCCCCGTGCTTAACTTTACGTAATTCTAATATATTCAATAGCTATTCAGTGAATTTTTTTGCTCCCTTCATTGGCTGCTCGCGATCCGTGCTCCGCAGCCAATGCGAAAAATCTGTTCGCCGTGGCCGGACCCACAGCCACACGCCGGTGCTGTCGTTTCAATTGCAGTGTAGTATAGAAGGTGGTAAAGTCCTGTTACAGCTGGCTAAGCCCCAATATCAGTATTTATGTACGGTGGCTCGTAGGGACAAAACACTTCCCCAAGAATACAAAACACGTCCCAGAATCCAAAGACACTTTCCAGAATCCAAAACACGTCCCAGAATCTAAAAACATTTCCCAGAATCCAAAAACACATCCAACAATCCAAAACACTTTTGGATTCTGGGACGTGTTTTGGAATCTGGGAAGTATTCTGTCCCTATGAGCCACGGTATTTATGCCGCCTTTGCTACCCGAAAATTCGTGTGTGGCTACTACTCGATTTAAAAGCTGAAATATAGGAATTTGTAAGATATAAATAAATATTACTATTATATTACTATCAATTTATTATTATCGACCCTTTGACTTTCTGGGCTTAGGAGGAAAAAATGCCTGGCTACGCCCCTGGAAGGGGAAATTACCCAGTTTTTCGACTGAAGTGGTAAAATGATCAAAAGAAAACACATGCAGAGGTCAGTCATGTCAGGTCTTTCAAGTTCCTGCATAGTTCTGCATGTTCAAGAGTTTCAGATCGACTGCCCTTGCGTCAGTCTGTCACTGTGTCTTTGAATTGCGTTCTAGTCTCTTGGTTCTAGTCAAGCTGAAAAACAGTAAGATACAGAGTACAGACCATATAAGACCTTTATGAAAAAATCAATATGTCTACACTAATAACTGCCGTATTTAAAACTACTATCGGTTTGCTGGTGAATAAAGGAAGAGACAAACTGGCAGAAAAGTTGAATGAAGGCGATGTTACCGGTCAGAAATTTCGAGGACTGATCGTCCGTGAAATGGACGAAATGCAGAAGAAGTTGGACGGGGTAGCAAGAAAGGATTTGTTAGCAGGAATCAGCCTTTTTCGGGAAGGAATCGAGTTGTTGTATGAAGTCTTTGAAAGTGCTAAGTCCAGTAGCGAGCATCGCGTGATAACAGCAGAAGCAACAGTTGAGCAGTTCGATATTGCGACAGAAATGAGGAAAATGGAGCTTAAAGTCTTGGATAAATCCTCCACGAGGAAGCTTAGCAAAGCCAAGAGGAGATTTGAAGAAGCTCGTCTAGAAGCAGTAAAAGCTTTTAGTAATGAAGCATTGGAGTTGCCTGATCGTCTGTTAGCTATGCAGTATCGACTGATGGCGACAGTGCTTGAGTCAGTAGACAATCCTACCGACGCGTTAGGAGCTTGTAGAGTGTGCCTTGAAGAGTTACACCGAGTGCCAGCTGTTAAAGAATCTTTCAAAGTTGAGTTGGAGGTCGGATTGCGATTGAGGGCTCGCTTTAATAAAGACGAACGAAGGCAAATTATTTTCTCTGTCTGTCACTTGAATCGTGTTGTCTGTAATGTCATGCAAACGCTCCGTGACGGAAAAATGTGGACGTTGCCTTCGGTCGATACCGGGAAAGAGACAGTGGATCCGCTCCGCGACGGAAGACTTGTTAACGCATTGACGAAACAAGGAATGGAACATAGCTGTTTACTGTGGTCATTTGGTCATGGGGGTGAAAACAAGCTGAAGGATCCGATGGGAATTGCTACAAACACCCAGGGCCAGTTTCTTGTAGCAGACTATGGGGATAAAACCTTGAAGGTGTTTCACCCCAACGGAAAGTTTGATTTTAGGTTCAATCCTCAAACTGACGACGCCGATACATATTTACAGGTTTGGGATGTCGCCATTGCGCACGTGGATGAAAATATCTATCTCCTGGTGAAACTGAAGAAGAGGTCGTTGCCATGGTATGAGCAGCTAGGGGAAGTGCGACAGGAAGTGCAGGTATTTAACAAGACAGCTGACTTACAGCGCAAGTTTCCTGTGAGGACAGCAAAGAGTTGCATGGGTGGCACCAGACTGACAGTGAGCAGCAGCAAAATGCTGCTGTTGACAAATAACGTTGTTGATGTTTACAAGCTCAGTGGTGAGTTTGTTTGTAGCTTTGGAGAAGGCGTGTTCAAGTGCGCAAGAGATATCACTGTTACTTGTGACGGTCGCGTCATGGTATTGGACCCGATGAGCCCAGACTGTTTCTGTTACTTATTCACTGTAGAGGGACAACAGCTCGCCAAATTTAACATCAAGATTGAACAAGATCGATATTATGCCATTGCATGTCACCCGACAAGCGAATATGTCGTTTTTGCTGGTCTTGCACTGGACACATGCCACCTGAAGCTTGCTATATACACCGTCAATGGCGAATTTGTTCGGCCAATTCAGCTGGATGAAAAACTAGTTTTGCGTCATGATCAAGTACGTGGAATTTCAGTGACCAAGGAGGGACACATTGCGGTAGCTTTTCGCGACATTTATTTCAAAGAAAAGGTACTAATTGCTTGAAGCTAAAACATTTGATTTTGCGTTCGACGTTAGGAGAACGCAACAATAATCTTGGGATTCCTGTGGTACTCAGTTGGGATTCCTGTGGTACTCAAGGGTGACCTTTTCAGCAAGCGTGTTTCGTCGTACGTCTGCATTTTCTGTGCCATCTTGAATAAGATTTAGCTCGTGTTATTTACGTCATAAGCAATTGTCATATGGCAATCACGTGCATCACTGGTCTCATAAAGGTCAACAAGCAAGATGATTACACCGGGATATTTGAGTTCGGCTAAAGAATGAACTTTGGAGTTGTTTTCTAAACGGGTTTTATCACTGAGCTGATGATTCTGCTACACCTTTTCCGGTCAATGCCGTTCAAATCCAGCTGGAACTTCGTAGAAACACACAAATAAAGACCAGGGCCCAGTTGTTCGAAGGCCGATTAGCGCTTAACACGGGGTTGAATTTAACCAGGGTTTCTTTTTCTTGTGTTCAAAAACATTTTCTCGGATAATTTTCTCTCTTATTTTTAGAGCTTCCAATCATCAACTTGTAGACAAAAAGAATTAAAACTAAAGTGCTTTTTAAGCTTTCAAATCTGAATTTAAATCTCGCACTTACCCTGGGTTATCTTAACCCAGCTTTGAACAACTCTGCCCAGGTAACATTTGTGCCTTGAGAAGTTTACCCGTGCGTTTGAGTCTATTTACATATTTGTAGTTTAACCTCTTTCATGCACGAAAAATATTCTGGGATAAAGTAAACTTGAGCCTATCAGTACAGGTTGTTACAACTGTAATGCTTTATTCACGTCTTGCATGATAAGTATCTCGCTTGCTAAAGCAAGCTAAGTTCAAAACATGTTGAACTGACCTACATGAACTTAAAATAATCATGAGATGAAACGTTTGCACAATGGCAAAAGATTCTGTCCTGTTCTCTGACATCAGGAATCTAGCAAAAAACTAATATGTTTCCGTCGCTCGTATGATCATAGCCTGCGAGCAAGCTCTCCTATTTGGGCAAGCGAACCAAGCCTCGCGAGAACACGAGAGCGAGGGGCCGAGGAAAAGCCTTTCCCCTGCCCCTCGCAGCTTCGCCGCTTGCTTGCGCGTTCTCGCGAGATTCGTTTCACTCGCCAAATAGGAGAGCTTGCTCGCAGGCTACTATGATCATTGTTTTCACTTCAAGTCATTGTGTCACGCAAGAAGCCAGGACTTTTCAACCTTCGAGGCTACCATTTTTTCGAAGTTTGTAGTGACATATTTATCTTTTTAAGAACACAGAACTTTTTACGACCTACTTTACATTTTTATCGACCATGCTTGAGGGAGAATAAGACATGTTAGGAGTAAAGAGTTAATGAATGAGATATTTTGAAGCCGTATACGCGAAGAGCATTTTTTTAAGAAAAAAATGTTTACCTTTTAATTCATGATCTCTTCCGTGATTTTGAAATAATGTTTGACGACACAAAAGCTAATCTGGAGCTAAGAAAACTCGAACGCACTCATTAATCTATGATTACTACTAGTCATAAATAAATGTCCTGAGGGCAAATTTGTGTATCCTTGCATCACTGGACATGACTGGATGAACCACAAATAACCAATCTCGTTCCCAGAGCCTTCGTTACCCTTGTCCAGCGAAACAGGCAACGTATTCCATAGTGCCGACCAAAGGGATCGCAGCCTCTGAAAACGTTATTGCAAGCTCACCTTTACTGTTGTTCGAATTAAGTCTTGTCTAAGAGCTCTAAACTTTATAAAGAGACCAAACAAGGGCACCCAACGACCGAATGTTTCCAAATACGCCAGAAATGTCTCAGATGGCTTTCTCTGTGCTTTGGAAGCCTGTTTGGTTAATTTGGACTTGCCCTAAAAACTATTTATCTGTTCAGTTGTCTTAGGGGAACTTTGCTCGTCACGCAAGTTTTTGGTGGCTTTTTCGTCTCATCCCGAAGTGTTGGCTACCCTTATGGGTCCAGTCGAAAGTTCGAGGGCATGAAGTAGCCTTGCTTTCATTAGAAAATTATAGGGGACGTTTTGACTTTATACCGAAAGTTTTAGGAGACCTCTTTTAACAATAATCGCAATATCTTGGTATTAAAATGGAATAACACAACCTCCGAAAATCGTAGTTAAGCTATTAGAAAACCTCCGAAAATTTTAGACGAATGGAACAATTATCGAGAAATTTTTAGCTTTTGTCAAGCTTTAGAAATTTCTCGGCAATATGTGCTCCTTCGAACTGTTATTTTACAGAAAAGAGTCGCTTGGTGCCCCCGACTAAAGTAGCCAAAATTAATTATATTCAAACACATTACACTGCTTAAAATTATTTAACTGTCCATAGGGCCTTGTCATGTAGTATCTTAAACTGCTATTAATGAAAGCAAAAATGTTGGGTAGTATAATAATTGCTACAAGGGATAGTTTAACAGTAAATTGATATATGTTGTAACATGTGTCTGTGTGAAATCAGAACGGGAACGGGGCCGGTATATGCTTCTGGTTTGACTGAGATAAAATGAAGTAAAATTTCTTAATTGGCTACATCTCGTTAGTGCAGCGAGAGGGCATTTCAAGTGGTACGACTCGAATGAGTCGCACAACTGGCTCTAGCCTGAGTATCAGGCCTTCCTAAGGGGCTAGGGGAGAGGAGATTTTTTCCATCTTTCTCCTTTTCCCTAGAAGCGCCTGATACTCAGGCTAAACTGGCTCCAGAACGTTTTTAAAAGGGCAGATAGCGCTATCCACCGGATAAATCCCGGGGGGGGGGTACTGCCATATATGGGCCATATAGGTATGTGCCGCTGTGAAGGGTATGGTTTTCAAGCAGTTTACTCTGGGATAGGGTATATAAATCAGAGCGTTTGGGTCTAGAATAGGGTATCATTTTTCAGGAAACTGATCAGATGGTGGAAGATTTTATCTAGACTAGGGACTGTGGTATAAGGTTTTGTTTTGGCTGGACTGTGCTAGTGATCTCAGTAGTTTCTAGCAATCAGCTACTCTAGAATAGAGGGGATTTGGGGAGATAACTCTAGTATAGGAAAGCCAAATTCAGCTGAACTAGCTCTGGTATAGGTTAAGGGTTCCAGGGTCCATGCGACACATCCCCACCCAGAAATTCCCAAATTACCCCCCCCCCGGGATAAATCACTGTCCAGTGGATAAAAGTATAATGAAAACCAATTGCATTAGCCACTAGATAGAGACATATCCGGTGCCAGCGTTACCCACCTTTTGAACAAATAGGGGCTGGTAGATTAGGATGAATATATGCCGGGATGAATAAAGTATGGTTAGAGCGTGAAAAAGAGAAACATTGTCGGCATGTATATTTCCCGTTCTGTAAGCTAACCACACAAGATTCTATGTACGCCGTGGCGAAACTGCATAACGCAGTGGGGGGGGGGGGGGGGGGGGCGAAGGGGAGTTGTTTCGTGGCGTGCGGTCCGAATATGACCCGCCACCTTAAAAAAAATACCTTCCTTAATCTAATCCCACACTCCGATGTGTAGGCCTTTGTTTATCTTCGTATCTGTTTTCACCCCAAAACTGTGTACCGCACAGGTGGGGGGGGGGGGGGGGGGGCGGTGACTTGGGTATTTTTTGGGTGGCCTGGGACTCCAAATTGGCACCCCGTTCTAAAAAAAATTTCCCCTAAAATTGATACCCCGATCTAGAAATGGGCCACTTTTTTATATCCGTGCTAGAATTCGCCCTAAAACTGATAACCCGTTCTAGAAATGAGCCAATTTTTTATACTCCGTTTTAGAAATTTTGTGAATTGAAATACCCCGTTTTTTAAAAAGATATTTCTTTATTTGTTCGACTTGTACATCAAATAAATGCTTCTTCATAATCATCCGGAGTACGTTTCCTATGCATGTGGATACAATGCGGTTAGTTATGACGCAAAATCTCTCACCACGCACAGAACCACGCTCGTAAGCTAACGATTTTCCTTCTCCTCCCCCGTCCCTTTCTTTTGAGCCCGTCTCCATCTCCCTCGGGTACATTATGGACTCGCTTCAGACTTCCGCGCGCCTAATTATCGAAGATGGCGGAGTCAGCGCTCGCGGCTTGCGCCAAAATACGCCCGCCCTGCACGCTAAAACACAGAGTCCAACAAGAGTACAACAGTTTGCTTGTTAATGCATTGAACCGTATTTTTAAAAGCAATCTGTCCTTGAATAATTTCAAATGGCTGCTTACCTGACTAAACTGTTTCGTGCGTTCGAAATATTATACCCCGTTCTAGAAAACGCCTCTGAAATGGATACCACGTTCTAAATCATGACCTTCAAAATCACGACCCCGTTGGCCGGCAATACCCGTATAGGTAATGTATCGGAGTACCCCCCCCCCCGGGGATTGAAGGCCTTGACCAAAGCTGGATCGGACCGAACTGGATCAACCCCTGTAACCCTATCCCTAACCTTTTTTCATTTAGAGAAATTAAAATACAGGAGTTGATGTTATCCGGTCCGATCCAGGTTTTGTTGACGCCTGTGCCTGACGACCGTTTACGATTTCAGGTCGCCAATGAAAAACGTTGTGCCTGGAGCACTGAAACGTTATTTTTCTTCTTGGCCAGGGGCACCCAACGACAGTTTGCTCCTACATACATTGAAAACACTTTTTTCATTATCATTGTCATGATCATTGTCATTACAGCGAATAATCATACTACACCCCACTCCCACCCCCCGATGCCAAACAATTCTCTCAACAGCCTCCCATGCAAAAGGTTTAAGGGACGATTTGCAACGTCGATTTCCGGCGTAACAAAGCGTTGCAATATTGTTGCGACATTATTTTGAACAGTTCCAATATTGTTCCAATATTGCAACGAAGTTTTGCGCTACTGACTATCGCGCGGTGCGAATCGTCCCGTGCAACAGCTCCTTACCTCGACCATTTTACTTTTGAGGAAGGGGGGATATGGGTGATTTCAGAGAAGAATATCCTGCAGACTGATTTCGAGGGAAAAACTGTTGCAGGGAAAATAGGAAATACCTGTGGAAAACATATATCCTCAGTGCACTGAATAAAAAAATATTATGGCGTATAATGCTAAGGGAAGAATCTTAAAACGTATTCGTTCCCTGGTGCCTCGCCAAACCCTACTGAAAATGTATGATGCTTTAGTCGCTCCTTATTTTGATTATTGCTCCGAAGTCTTGGGGATGTATGGTAAAAGGCCTGTGTGACCGACTCCAGAGATTGCAAAATAAGGCTGGGAGAATTATAACATTTAGTGATTATAATACAAGATCTGCGGATATCCTCCAAGACTTGAGATGGGATACCCTTGAGCAAAGACGCTCTAAACAGCTCGCAATAAGTGTTTTTAAATCTCTAAATAACCTTTACCTTGAGAGTTTAAAGAACATGTTTAAACCAACCTCTGGGGTTCATTCCTACAACGTGCGAGGTGCCTCGAACAACATTTTTGTACCAAGGCCCCGTACTGAAGCTGCTAAGAGGGCCTTTAGCTATAGGGGAGCAGTCATGTGGAATGGCCTAGAAAATGTGCTTAAAGACGAGATAAATCTCAACTCTTTCAAGTCTGCCCTATCTTTGTCTTGAACCAGGGATTGCCTTGAGGGAGTTGAGATAGAATTTTATTTTAGTTATTTAATGTACCTTTAAGGTTGATTGATTTTTGTGTGATTAATTATAGGATAGATTTTCTTAATATATAGATATATTTTAGCATTAATGTAGTTTCTCTGAAAATTTTGTTTTGTAAACGGCTCACTGGAAGAGCATTTTTAATGAAGTGATACCGTTAATAAAGCTTTATTGATTGATTGATTGATTGATTGATTGATTGATTACACTGTTATCAGGAGCTCCTGCTGTTATATATCGGGGAACAAAATTTAATATATCTCCAGAAGTTTGGGGGAGGAGAAATTCTTACCCAAACTAGATCGCTCATACCCCCCACGACAAAAATAAAATGTTCCACCCCAACAGAGGATCCTCTCTGGTCTGCCCCTATCCTCTTCTCTTCGTGGGAGGGACGGTGCGTGGGAGGCTCGTGACTACCCGGCTGATTACCGCTGAGACACGAGCCAGAGTTCCAACATGGCGCCTCCAGCTCCTTCTTCGAGAAAACGAGTAAATGTAAAAGAAGAGGCGAAAACTGACGAACGGGAATTCTTTCAGCTATCACCTTTGCCTTTGAGCATTTTCATTATATTTTTGCTGATCTTATACTGGGTAAGATATTCATTTTATGATTCGTGTAACAGCTGTTCACTGTTGGAGAATGGGCAAGAGTTGGTCGAAAATCTGGCTGATACTCGGTGTAAAAACCTGTGCACCTCAAGAGTGACGTAAAACAACTAATACCAAGAAGCAGCCAACACAATAGCACCAAGGAAAATAATAACTAGAAAACAAAGAAAAACTTCACAGGTTTTTACTCCGAGGATGACCAGAAAATCAATGATCTGGGCTGTCAGGTGCAGTGCTGTCAACTCTCCCGGATAATCCGGGAGACTCCAGATTTTGGACCCTATCTCCCGGTCTCCAGATTAGAGTCTGATATCTCCCGGATAATCGCCAAAGTTGCTATTTCTTGTAGACTCGACTTTCCAACCACAAAATTTCAAATATTTTGCCTTGTTTGAGCTACCGTTACAGTTAACATGGAGCGTCTTGTCATAAATTCTGGTGTTCCACTGTAATTGAAGCAATACCGTAAAATTCCGAAAATAAGCCCCTCCATTTATAAGCCCCTCCAAATATAAGCCCCTCAAACTCATAACGTAAAAACCCTCCGTTAAATGGCCCCTCCAAATATAAGCCCCCCCGGGGGGCTTGTACTTGGAAATTTCCCTCAAATGCAAAGTAAAACAAAGCAAAAACGGTAAATTTTCTTCCAATTATAAGGCTAGCCCAATCGATTTTTGAGACGCAAATTTCCTTCCGTAGATAAGCCCCTCCGAATATAAGCCCTCAAAAAAGGCCTTTGAAAAATGTAAGCCCCAGGGCTTATTTTCGGAATTTTACGGTAATCTGATAATGTGGCTAAATATGAACTGTTTATGTGCTATATACGTCAATCAGAACCAGCAAGCATTTTGGGCACAATTGACGTCATCTGTCGTTCGATATTGTGTCATCTATCATTCTTCCCTATCAATTCTCACTCAACACTTGATGATGTGGGGGGTTGACAGCCCTGCAGTTGGCTTGTCTAGGCAACAATTTATTAATGACGTATTACTATGAACGGTTTTAACTCAGAAGTGATAAGTAGGTAGAGCATGATCATTCAGGTGTCTAGCCTGCTGGCAAGCTCAGACTCCACTTGGGGGAGTTGCGAGAAATCACGCAAGAGCCACACATGAAATGAGATGTGAGTGTGAGAAGAAGTGGGGAAAGAAGGAGGAGCTTCATTACTACCCTCCACATAGCATGCTAAGGGGTAAATAAAAATGCGACAGTGGACATGGAGTGTGACTCATGCTGAGTGCCTGATGGACAATAAGGACCAGCGCTTTACTAACAGAATGTCTGAACCATACAAATTTTAGATAATACGTAGTGACATATTTTGGATAACAATGCAGAAAAAAATACATAACAGTAAAATTCGACAATATTCAACAGTAACTAGTAAATGATCTTAAAGTTAAAGTCAATATTTTGAATTCATATAAACTATAAGATCTACCTAGACATGCAGAAGTTAAGCAAACATGAAAAGTGAAATATGAAATAACAAAAATGAAAAACAACAACAAAAAGACAAAGCAAAGAATTAAGGCTAAGAGAAAAATCTAGAAGAAATGCAAAGCAATGATATGCTGCCGCGTACAAAAACCCGGAATGAAAAAAACCCTGTGGTACAAAAAAAAAAAACCAAGAACATACTCCTAATTGATGCGATTGAATGCAGCAAATCGTGCTCCGAGGATAAGAGCTAAACTAAGTCTATTAAGTTCACTACTCACAGTGTTACGTTGAAAAGCGTTCATCGCAACGATCTCTTATAAATTTTCATTTCCACCCTTGAAACTGTAGGTAACCGTAAAGCGTTAAAACTGTCACCCGAAACAGAAACAAATGTGCCAGTTATGCTAGCATTCCAACCAAAGCAAAATATTTCATTTTCAAACTAAGACAAGACTACTAAAAGACAAAATCAACGAAAACACTGCATTTTGAAATTATCCATTATCTGAAAGCAGTTTAAGTGGAGATACATTTGTGAATTTTCCTTTTCAGCTATCACCTAATAACTTGTTTCCCTTCTTTTTGGGGGGCTGATCTAAGAAGCAACGAATTCAATATGCCTTGGCAGCTGGTTCAATAGGAGTTTTGTGGGGTGAAGGCTTTTCCTCTCAATTTTTGCAACCACTGGAAATACTCCTGGCCCCATGCCAGTTGTTCCAAAGGTGGATAACACTATTCACTGGATAAATCTCTGTCTATTGCATAGCACAATAATATTGGTTTCCCAATACTTATAATCCACTGGATAGTGACTTATCCAGTGGATGGTGCTATTCAGTGTAAATTGAACAACCAGTCCCTAATTTGCTGTCCTAGTCACGATGGAACAGTGTCAGGGTTGTGCTCTGGTAGTGCTCGGTGACCCCTGGTGCCTTACTTTTGATCTTGGGTGATTAAAAAAATTTAGCTTTTTCATAGAAATCCTATGCTAGGCACCTTATGTTTCACAGGTTTGACTCGGGGAGGAGGGGGGGTACTTGGGTTAATTTTTGCTGTGTATGTGCCGCATGCCTCTGAGAACCCCTACCCCATTATAGTCTATTTTGTGGTCATATTATAGACCCCATCTTAGTCACTTTTGGAAAAAAGTAATTTTTGCAATCCCAACTTAGTGACCTTCTGTTTATGCATCTGCCTTATAAAGCCTTAATTTATCTACAATTATAAGTCATCCTAAAATGAACTGACACATTTGTTAAACTTAATGTGGTGTAAATCTTTTTATTTATAAATGCTTACACACCTGAATTTTCTGACCCCCAAAATCCTGAAAATGTGCTACCCCATTCTAGTAACTCTTATAAAAATGCAACCCCATAATTGTCAATCCAGCAACACATACATACATGTTTTTTATTTGAAGTCTTATACAATAAATAGTATATCAACTATTTCCAACTAACTAAAATTACAAACAACAATACCCAGTAGCCAACTAGGAAGTACCCCCCCCCCCCCCCCCCCACCGGGCTCCGCCCAACGGGTGTCCCTTGGAGCACCACAATCCCCCTACATCAAAGGAATGCAACACTAAACTGGAAAGAACAATGGTTTTATTTAAATTGCAAACAAAAACAAGAGCTTTACATAACAAAGTTTTGAAACAGTGGAGATCTCAGTGTTTATCAAGGGGTTCAGAGCACTGGTCTCCATCTGAGTTGCCCCAAGCCTCTGTTTCAAAGTGAGGCTAAGAGCAAAGCCATATGAAAATGATTTTTATTCCAATGCAAATAAAACTCAGGGATTTTCACAAGAAAGGTTTTGCACTTAGCCTCGTTTTGAAAGTGAGAGGTTTTGGAACTCGGAAAGGGACTATTCTTCTTAGAGCATAGGCTTGAATGTTGCATGCCGGTGTTACCTTTAAATACATCACAATACCACTATACTTTCAACTTGTGCGCTAACAAAAAAGTTGAACGGAACCCAGGGCTCTGAAATCCAGGGTACCCAGCGTATGATTTCTAGGGAAAAAATGTGATTTTCCAGTCACCAAGGAGCAAAAGTTATGTGCCAGGGACCACCTGGTGCTGCTAGAGCCCTACCTTCTGTCCTCCTTGATTGCATTATTATACCCACTCTCTATTTCTTGCAGTTTGTTTGCTACAATGTAGATGCTCTACCTTTGCAAGCATTGGGACCACTAGGGAAAATGTTAGCATATTTAGAATCCAATTATTTGAAAGCATTAAGACTTGGGTGAGTACTTGAAATGTCACTCAAACTGTATTTTTAGCGGGGCTCTCACGTCCGCAAAGCGTGCACAGCAAGCACCATATGGGTATGAAAATTTGGTTATCTATACATCCGAGAAATTCTGGTAGTGACTTGTAGTCATGTGACCATCCGTCCATCTGTCTGCACCACAGGCATACCAATGTAAAATAAGTCAATCAACAGGTACGCCAATCAAATGCAACTCCTGGCTCCAGTTGTTCAAAAGGTGGATAGCGATTTATCCGGTGGATAGCGTTATCCAGCTTTAGAACAACCGGGGCCAGGCTTTTTTGGCTGGAAATCACATGGCCACCCGCATCTTGTGAAGCAGAGACAATTATTAAAGAGTCGTTAAAGACAAAACAGAAAGCGGAAATTGTTTCTGCCTCCTTGTTGTCTAAAGTATTGATTTTAGCCTACAATAATGTCCACAAAATAATTTGGAAATTATATAGAGAAAGAGAAAGACATAGAAAACAAGAAAGTAGGTGACAGGATAGAGAAGCTCAATAAGAAAAAGAGCAACAGAGAACTAGAGTGAGAGATAAAAAAACAAAGGAGATGAATTTCATTGGAAGAACAACATGAAAATTTTGCAGTGGCAGTGAGAAAATGAGAAAATTATGCTAGTACTCAGCAAGGTGAAAATGAGGGGTAATGAAAAAACAGTGAACAGGAATATAAGCAACAAATTTTGGGGGGAGCATATACAACATTTTCTTCATAAAATGTGTAACTAGAAAGTTTCACGTTGCAACAACGACAGCAAAGAAGTGTACAAAAAAGTGTGCTGCACGTGAAAAGTTCTTGATTGTTTATCTAATTAGACCTATTTGTTTTTTTGGCAGTTCCTGTTTCCATTGCTGTTTAGCATTTTGTTTAGCATTTTGAGTAAAGTGAAAGTATTTTAACAAGAGCTTTGCTTTTAGCCCTGGCTTGAACTATATATTAGGTCATATCCGGTTGACAGGACCGGAGTACCTAGATAGACTACGAGTAGTCCCCCATTTTTCCTCAGGGATAGTAGATCAAGCGAAACGCGAGTGCGCGTGAAAATCACCCCACACGAGAAAAGACGACACGCGGCGGGGAGAGAGAAAAATGAGGGACTACAGACAAAGCCCAAGCTTTTGACCCTTCACGGCCGACTGATTTTGGAGTGTGAAGTTCGTATCCCCTTCCACATCAATTAAGCGCATCGAATGGGATTCCTTCCCTTATTGAGTTGTCATTGCTCTTGTCATCGGTAAACTGCGGGGATATGTTTATTGCAAGCAAAAGAAAACCCAGATACTAATTTTCTTCACGGCTTTTTCGCGTGAAAAACTTGATAGTGTAGGCAACACACGACTTTTACTCATGCCAAAATCCTGCTTATTCCAATGAATTTTTTTCTCAGACGGGTAGATTATGCTCTGGAGGACACGCATATTTATTTTCTGCGGTTATTGTCTATGGTCGGCATGATTTGCCCTCTGATGCAAGAGCATTTTCTTTGACCTCTTTTGAAAAGTAAAGCTCTTCAATGCAGCTAAATAAGGGTTTTGGGTTGTTTAATTTCTCTGGCGATTGACTCTTGGATCTGAATAATTTTAAGCGATTTTCTTTTTGGCCGTGAATGTGACGGTTTCCTGCAATGTTTTGTTAGCAGGACGGATAGTGATATCCAAATCTCGAAGAATGGATTGCAGCTTAAACTAAAACTACATTAATTATGGAGAATTGCGATGTGACTCAGTCATGACTGCTCATGAATTTTAACTGCCGCTTGTTTTTCTGGAGATAATGTGAGCTTTTGGACTGGAGCACGTAGTTCCTCCCTTGGTGATAACTATTGAATTAGCTTAACAGCCTTGCGACTGTTCTGTTATTCCCAATTTGTGATCATGCAAGACCATGGTTTCGGTTCTCCACGCAAACCTCATCAGTTGCCGGGTTGGCTTTCTGCTTAGTTGCTTCAACAAGAGCAACTCTAGTTATTTGTTTTGTGCTGTTATTTGTTCTGTAAATTGTGATTATGTCGAGTGTTGATAGCGGCTGGCGCATTTTTGACAGATGCTGACAGATTTCCATGGAAGGGCCAATCAGAGTTTTGCATTGTGAGAGCAACGCATTAGTTCAAAAGCTTGGGCTTTGTCTGTAGTCCCCCATTTTTCTCTCTCCCCGCCGGGTGTCGCCTTTTCTCGCGTGGGGTGATTTTCACGCGCGCTCGTGTTTCGCTCGCTCTACTATCCCTTGAGGAAAAATGGGGGACTACTCGTAGTCTATACCTAGAAAAAATCCTGAGGTACTAAAGGATGGTCAGCCAGACAAATTGGGCTCCGTGACATAATAATACATGGCTTCAATTTTTTTTTCAGTCGCACATTACAGTGGTTAATTCTTGAAGAAAACTAACAACAGAGCTTGATCTGCACATATATAGTCAAACTTTATCATATTTAGGATCACAAGCTTCAATGAATTGATTTCGTAATTTTGATGACCACCTTCCTGCCTTAAGCCCTTTATTGATTGCAAAATAGTAAGCATTTTTTCTTTTTAAACATTTCCCCCATTTCTAGTGCTTCCTACCCTTTAGAACTCCCCCCTCTTGCCCATTTATATCCTGCCTCCTGCACTCCTTCCGTCCCTGTTCCACAGTCTATTGGGCCACCACCCGCCTGTCCTCCCCCAGATTCCTTGCTAGATTTGATACTCTTCCCAATGTTAAACTTGAATTTGAAACCAAGATGGCAACCTTTTACAGTAAGCACTTGGTCTTAATAATCTCAGGGGGAAATACAAGGAGGTCGGTATAATAAACACTCTACACAGACACCTTCAAATATCAATATCAATATCAAATATCAATTTTGTACACCTACAGGACCCCTACTGGTGCCTACTTTATATGAGAAATTTCAGAGACTGTAGTTTTACTGTTGGTGCCAATTTGGTTTTGATATAATCCAGCTGCAATTGATGTCATTTTAACAACTTTTTTTCTCTTAGTTTCAGATTTACAATAATGGTCCATCTTCTGGAGGCTGGTTTTGCATACAGAGTCTGTAGGTAAGGACTCTTTCTTCAATAATATTCTCATCCCTCAGAGAAGTAGGATTTCCTGCTCTACTCTGCACATGGGGAGAAGGTCCTAATAATGGTGATGATGAATTTAAGGAACAAGAACGCAGCCCTTAGAAATGACCTCGCCACCTCTACTCTCTCTTTCTGTTTTGTTTTCTTTGGCAACAATTTTTGTTGTATTATTTTCCGCCTGATCCCCTTTGCATAACCCACAGTCAAATTTAGCATTTTAATGCTTGGTAGGTTAATCTTATGTCCACATATATTTTTATTTCCTGCTAACAAATAAAATTTTTGTTTGTCCTGTAGGCGGATGATGTTCTCTCATTTAACAAGTTTCAAGTGGCTGGTACAAACTCTTGTGGTTGGTTTTCCTTCACTGGGCACGCTTCTCCGATACCGGAAGGAGAGAGAGCTCCGAAAAAACAAAAGTGAATAATGATAAAGAAACCATGACAGCTGCAATTTGCAATATTATACAGTTGAACCTCCAGTAATGGCCACCTATCTACAATGGCCACTTTTTTTCGTCCAAGCAAACCAAAAATCCATACATTGACTCTTATTTAACACCTCTTAACAACAGCCCCATGTTTACAATGGCCGCTTTCTTCTGTCTCCAAGGTGGCCATTGTAGAAAGGTTAAAATGTAGTTAAGAATGCCATTAGGACCAAAACCTCAAAGAGGCCCAAATTAATGATTTAAAACGGATCTGTTTTTGATCAGAATCGATGTTAAGGGCTAGTAAATGATACATAATCTCTATTTCTCTTGATTCTGTGAGAATAATTTTCTGTTGTACTATGAAAATATGTCTGACAGGGTATTATATCTTTTTCACAGTCGTTTACAAAAAAATGAAGGTAATTAATTCGATATTCTCTTAGCTTTTATTATTAGCACTTAGGATTAATAGTGTGATCCTAAAGCAAGGTTCCATCATGGAGAAATACATACATTAATTTTACAACAGGACAATCTCTTGTTTATTTATGCAAATAAATACACTACTTGTTTTTAAAAGGTGTTTATCTTTATTTACTATCAATGATTCCACTTCTTTCCCTGAGAAGAGATAATGTATGAGGAGTCTGTCATCAACATTAACCACAAAGGGGGCATATTTGAGGTAACTCGCTATTGAAACTGCCCCTTCATTTATTCAGTCACAATGTGTGAACCAAGAGAATAGAAAGTTGTGCACAGCCAGGGAGCACTCAAGATTATAAATGGCAGCAGCATTCTTTTCATCTTTGAGTTTTGCTGGCTTTCGTAGAAAAATAAAATGTTCCCTATTAGCAGGCCTTTATATCAGGCCAGCTACAAGATTTCTTGACACTTAGATTATCTAAGTTCATCATCATCACCAACCAGTCTATTCTCCTGTTCTAATGTTGATAAGAGTAGGAACAAACTTCAATTTTGTAAGAAAAGTGTCAGAATGAATGCTGAGGATGGCATTTCCTTAAATTCACTGACCAATACATGCACAATTTATTCAGCTTGGAGCATGTTTCGCAGTTCCTGTTCATGTGAGGGAACAAAGTCAGCTGGTTTTCTTCCATTCTTATCTTTCACTTTCACAAGACTAGAGTCCAAATCTAACAACAATTCAACAACTTCTTTCTGTGCCTTCTGAGCAGCCTGAAAATAAGTTAATGAAGCCAAATCAGTCACACCCCCAAGTGTATAGTGTAGTAAGAATAAAAAGGAAACTAAACCAACAAACAACAACAACAACAAGTTTATTCAGTATTACCATTTTGCACAGGTGTTACCACTGTACTAAGCCTGAAAAATAGCCAACATTTTGCGCGGCCACCACAGGTTTCTCAGCAAAATGATGTCTGAGAAACGAGCCCACAAATTCCATACTGATGATGTGACTTTTCAAGGTTCAATTTTGGGCCAAAGGATTTTTTGGGATCTTGTTTCTAACCCAAGTTGTTTTGAGGGGCTCAACTTTCATTTTTACTCAATCATTCCTGTCACTTTATAAATCCAGGGTACCCTCACCCTCCTCCAGCAGGTGCTATTAGCAAAATGTTAATTATAATACTAAGGCTATGGTGGTTTCTGCCTGTTTCACTCACACTACTGCTGTCAGTGATAAATTATGAAATAAAGACAAAAATTAGTGTACCTTATGTAATGGAGTCTGCCCATCACTGTCACTCAGCCTGGGATCAGCCCCATATTTGATGAGAAGTTTCACCACTGTCACGTGTCCAGAGTATGTTGCTCTATGCAGAGATGACGTCCTGCCTGACCTAGTTTGAGCATTCACATTTGCTCCCCTCTCAAGAAGCAAACTGCAAGCATCTTTATGGCCACTGCGACTAGCGTAATGCTGGAAAGATGAATGGCAAAGAGTTTACAACATGGGTTGATCATCAATTTCCAGAAATGCAAGTGAGCCTACGTAATGTCACCAGTATTGATACCTCCACAAGGCTGTGCTCTAATGGCACCCAGTCACCTGAGGCAACTAATATTTAGCTTCGGGCGAGTGAAAAAAATTCCCCGTTGCTCCGCCGGGCACTCTCACTTCTAGTACAGTGTTTAGTTAAGCAGGCAAGAAATTAAACATATTAGTGTTGGCTTGTTCAGTCAGAGTTCACCAAACTCCACAGAAAATGTTTTTTGTATGAAACAAACGGGTGCGCATTGATCTTCAAAGGTTGTTCTGCATGATTTCACATGTAACATAATCCATCACTTTGAGCGTCACAAGTGGCACGGATTTCAATTTGTACTGGTTCTCAAAATAGTTTTAAAATTTTTCGTTTCAGAAAGAACGTTTTTTTCGGTACAGTTTTTAGGAGAAACTGTTTAAATAATACGTTTCTGACAAGCGTAGAGCCTCCTAGGCCAATCCCCTCACCACACACAGAAGGTGTCCATTGACTAGCCTAATGCTAGAACGAATATGGAAACATACGAAAAACATGTGGAAAGGCCTGCAAAGTAGAGGTTGTGGTTGGGGAATAAGGGATAAAACACTTACTGGTAAAGATGAATGGCATTTCATCTCCACTACTGAACAACAGAAAGGCCCAAGAATTAGAGCTAAAAAAATATCTACCACAAATTAGCTTTCTTACCAGGGCTGTATATCCTGAACCATCTCGTGTATCAGGGTCCCCTCCCTTATCCAAAATTGTGGTGATCCGTCTCACATTGTTGTCGAGAGCAGCTTGCCAGATGCCTCGTTCAAAGTCCATTTCAGTCAAAGACTGGGTATATAATGAAGGCTTTGATGAACAATCACATACATGTGTACTGTGATCTTCACAAGATTCTTCCATTATTGCTTTCCAAAACCGTCAGTCATTTAGTCGTCATAAGACTATGCATGAATGTAATCTACAGAAAAATAACGAGATTTATGAATATAAATATACAAAATGTGGACAAGAAAGAACGACGTTTCGGTGTCATCTTGATGCCATTTTCAAGTTCAAATTGCTTGCTAATAAACTGTCAAAAATGGTTTTCTGGCTGATGATTAGCATATATGAAAATAATAAACAAAAGTCATGCAAAAAGTTTTGCTTGAATTGAGTCCGATTAATTAAGAGAAGGTGTTAGTTCCCTAACTAGCAAAATTTCATGCACTAGCCACTTGAACTTGTTATTGCACTTCTTAAGGACAGAGAACTGTTTGTTAAGATCTTTTGGGACAGTAGAGTGTTTCTCTAAGCAGGACGCTACCATAGCGTCCGGCCTGGAGAAACTACTACTCCCAGGGTACCCATCATTTTGTACGCTAAAATGGTCTCAAATTAGACCCACACATTTGTCCTTGTCCTTTTTCCTGTTTTAGTGTTAATTAGACACCAGTACATATTAGTAGACCCAGGCGCGGTACGTCTTGAATTAACACCCCTGGGTGGGTACTTACCATCTTTGTTCCTCCCTTGTTATGATGGCAACCACTGTAGCAGAATATAAAAATTTACTGAAAATATCCTGTAGATATGTTCTTTTTTCAAAGTAATATAGTCAACGCATGTAAGTGAAATGCAAAAAGGAACAGAGCTTAGCTGCCACTTTCCAACTTTACTATGGTACCTCGGAGAGTACCGACAAATTATGCATGAGGGCTGAAGAAAGCATTCATTACTAAATTCAAGTATTTCTAGATATGTAAACCTTCCGCTTTCACACCGTATTGTAACAGAACTAACGTCAGAGGAAAGATGTTTGTAAGATTTGAGCGCGACTTGAAAATGTGCTACATGTAGAGAGTCACGAAAAATCACCGGAAGGGCACTGGAAACCACCGAAACAAAAACCTCGTTTCCATTCTTCTTTCTTGCAATTTTTGTGCGTCTGCCATGTTTTCTTGCTAGAAAGTTTTAGTGGAAAATGGCAAGAGATTTTGAGAATTCTTCCTCTAGGAGAGACAGAAGTCCATCTCCAAGACATGAACACAGGAGAACTCGGTATCCTCGTTCAAAATCACGCTCAAAATCGAGAAGTCGGAGCCGAAGCAGGGAAAGAAGCGGAAGCCGTGAACGTTTTCGGTACGTGCATTGCTATCTCATTTATAGTTTAACCTATCACTCCTAATTTTTGCAGATTCTTCGTGAATTCTACAGTAATTTGTAGAATTATGGAGTGTAAAGAGAAACCAGAATCCAGGCCACTTTGAAGCTGTGGCTTTGGGCGAGTGTCATGATAAAGTCTCGGGGTATCCAATCGATGGAATCGATGATCGGAAAACCAATCGATCAATCGATATCAATCGATGAAATTAGTTAACTGGTCTCGACTGGTATCGGTCAATCGATGATCAATCAATAACCACACAAAAATTGTTCATCGATTGCTATCAACTGGCACAGCAACCTTGAACAGACATCACTCATGCTACCTGTGATGGGCTCCTGATGCTACCTGAAGCCCTAGGGATGAAATTGGTAAAACAATTCCGACCCAGTCTTCTCAACGCAAAGGATATACCCCGTTGCACATGTACTCGAATAACCCACTTGCCCATCCTTGCCTTTCCATTTCATCCAGGGTATTCAATTGATGGAAATCGATGATTGGAAAACCAATCAATCAATCGATACCAATCAATAACCACACGAGTCTTCGCCATTGATTGGTCATCGATGATAAATATTAATCAATTAATTGATATCGATTGTCATTGATTATCGATTTCATCAATTGAATACCCCGAGTAAAGTGCATGATCATGCGTTCATTCCGAATGTTTGTTTTGTCAAGACTGTTTACATATAGGGATGAAATACCAGCTGAGATCTTGCGCGAAAACATGATATCTTCACATGTGAAAAGATCACCGTTACTATGACTACATAAAAAATTGCTTCTTTACCAAGAAAAACCTATTAAAGTCTTGTTCACTGTGTGCTGTAATGGTGTGTGACTGCCATCTTGAATCACCTAACATCTTTCATACATGTAGGTTCATATATTGAGTACTCACCTCAGACCATTTTGGAAAGTGGTTCTTACTTGTTATTCATTCTGTGTGGTCTTCATTGACATAATTAGATTTATCCCTATTTTTTAAAAGAAGGGGCCCTGGAGCTCCCCAAGTAAAAAACCTGGTAAAGACACTGAAACCGCTGTAACAACATCAGCTGCATTAGCATTTCAGCAAGATGTTATTATTATAATTTATTTTGTCAGGCATCACAGACACAAGAGAAGACTCACCCCAGAGAGCTTTATGGACAAGTAAGTTAATTCTCTTTTATTTTCCCACTACTTTTTCTATAATTTGAAATTAATTAAAATAATAATAAGGACATGTAACATATCAGTTTGGACATTGTCCTTTAAACTTTTTCTCCCTTCCTTCCTTGTTGGGTGGTTATCCACTGGCTCAAGTTACATGTAGGACCACTTTGAATGCTGAGCATATCGAACATACAGGTCAGAGCAAACACATGTGCTAGCTGCAACACCGTGGCAAAACGCACTCTGCATGAGCACAAAATTTAACATCCGGTCAGCTTTTTATTTCTGGTCTAGTATATAAACCAATTGCGTAAGCAAAACATTGCCGTCGCGCCAAGTTTAAAAGCAAAAAGGGAAAAACAGACAAGAAAGGGGGCGAAAAAAATCACGTCAGTTGATAGCTCATATATATTTCTAGTGTCAAACTTTTGCACCACGTGGTTATCTGGTTGCACCAACTAGTCAAGGCCGGACTTGAACGCGAAGAGTCTCTTTGTTTCAAGTCCAATGCCTTAATCTCATGGCCATGATCACAACACCTACCAAATGTTTCTCTTGTTTTTTCACAGGCGTAGGAAAGCACGTGAAGCAATCAGTGCTTCAGGAGTCATTGAAGTTTGGGGTCTCTCTCCTAGAGAAGCACCTCCTGAGTAAGTAGAGTTTAATCTCTTCTTTACAAGAATAAGCAGTTACAGTCAACTACATGTATTTTCGAGAGGAATCCAACTCTAGGAACACAGATCTTCTGAACAGGGCTCCACCTTTGGGATTAACATCCTCCTACTACTCCCCCCTCCCTTCTTTAGTTTCTTGTGCATGTGCTGAATTTTTTAAGGTTAATATACACTGAGTGTATACTTTTATACCGGAGCTCCACGCGCCTAAGGAAATGTGATAATCTACCTATCCGAGAAAATTTGGTAATCACGTGACTGTACACCGAGCGAGCAACCGCTCGCACCACTGGCATACCAATGTAAAATAACTCAATCAACAGGTATGGCAACCCAAATGCAACTCAAGGTTTTATTTGGAAGGAAATCACATGGCCGCCCAGACTTTTAGAAAGAAAAAACAAAAACAAAGTCGTGGCTTTCTCGGCGTTATTTTTTATGTTTACATTAACGTGGATAACAGAGAAAGAGCTAGAGCGAGTTATTGAAAACAAAGGAGACAAATTTTGTAGGAATAAAAACATGGAAATTCAAAGCGGCGGTGAGAAAATGAGAAATGCTAGCGGCCAGCAAGGTGAAAATGGCCGGCAGTGAAAAATAAAAGCAAAGATGAACACAGGAAACAAAATATTGGGTAAGCACATACGATAATTCCTCCATAAAAATAATGTGTAACTAGGAATTTTGACGTTTTAGTCGTACAAAACAGCGTTGTAGTCGTGCAAAATAGCAGCAAGGGAAAGACAAAAAAGCATGCTGCATGTGCAAATTTGTTTTTTGCTAATTAGAAGAAAAAGTGTGCTGCACGTGCAATTTGTTTTTTTGCTAATTGGATCTATTAGTCTTGAAGCCATTTTCATTGTCGTCCCCGTTTAGCATTACACGATTTAACTTTTTTTGTTTACAAATATTATTAACCAGAGCTTCACTTTTAGCCCTGACAAAGTCTGTATATTATCTTTTGCAAAAGGTTCTAAAAGTTCAGGCCTGGCACTAAGGGCAACAGGATTTTCTGTGGCTACTATTATCATGAGCCTTTGCTATTTTCACAGGAGGGAAAAGGAAAATAAAACCAAAAGAAATTCCAAACCATGCAATTCAGGGCTGCCTACCAATAAAATACTTGCTTATACCCAGCAACTTGAAATCTTGGTGACAGCCTGGAAATTTACATTTATGAGTTCCTATAATTATTAACAATTAATGAATGAGGTTGAGTATCTTATGAAGAATTATGGAGATCGAGGAGGGTGTTACTGCATCGACGGATAACACTGAACTGTATTTGAAACTTTATTTGAAAATTCTTGGAGGCCATGTCTAGAAACTTTACTTTGACTAAGCTCCCCCTCTCTATCCACTCCTTACTGCTTGCCATAGAATTTCTGCTTCAGTTTAATACATGTACATGTAAGCTGAAAAAAACTCTTATTCACGCATAATATTGTCAAATTTTATTGGCAGCTCTGATGAAGAGATGAGAACTGCAGTATCAAATGGAATAAAGAATAAACGTGAGTACATTTGACCTTACCTTGTTGATTGAAGAATGGCAATCATACTGACTGGTGTCTTAACAAAATAAACAAAGCTTCGTTAAAGCGCATTGGAACTAAGGTCTGGCCAGCTTCTGTAACAGGGGAAAAATTTTTTATAGCATCATTTGTGGCTACATTTGAGCTTGCCTTTTCAAATAAGGGGAAAAGTAAAACTGAGTGGGTGATGTTGTTGTCACATGATGTCATGGCAGCCATATTGATGTACCAAAACAATGAAAGGTGACCATGTTGGAGACCATTATGTCTGTGGGATTGATTTCTTCTCTTCTGCAAAAAGCTTCTTTCTTTTCTAAGAAAGTTGCTTATCCGTGCCGCAAAAAATTTGTCGTGTCTCCTTGACAAATCACGAGTACAATGTGAACCAAAACATGGAACCTTACAGTACACTGCATTTAGTTTTTGATTGATGTGCTTCGTACTGTGTCCTGAACACAGTTGCCGAACGAAACTTGAGATTAACCCTTTAAGTCCCAATGGTGACCAACATCCATTTTCTCCTAACAATATCCATAGATTGTCAAGAGATTAGGTTATGATAGTTGATAAAATGATCATCTAAGAGAAAATGCTTTGATCTTTTATCAAATTCTCCACACATTCTTTAAGGAAATATATAGAGATCAGTTTGGAGAATTTGTATGCGGATATTGGGGCTTAAAGGGTTAAGTGCTAGTTTTCTGCAAAGGATTCTTCCTTGCTCTTTTTGTTTCATGTTTTTTTTTTGTCAGTCCATCTCCGATTGAGTTATTGGTCATAACATGCAAGAAGATCCTCCATAATTGTGGAAATGGTTGCAAATAATTTGCTCCTTATTCTACGGGACCTTCCAGATGGTCTTTGATCCAAAATTGGACATTATAGGAGTACTGATTGAGGATTGAAATCCTCACCTGAGATATGAAATGACCCAGTCATTTATTTCCCTGTATGAAACTCGTGCTGGTGTGTGTTTTCTCATGTAAACACCCCCTAATGTTCCTTTCATTCCAATCCGTGAGTGAATGATGGAGACTTGTAAGGTGGTTCTACAGTCAACTTTTGAGTCTGCAGATGAAATCCTATGGAATGACAATGCAATTGAAACCTTTTCAGCAATAAGTTTGTCATGGTACACTGTGTTCTTTTGTTTTTCTTTTTTTTCCTTTGGAAATTGTGTTGAAATTTGACTCTGGTCACAATTGGGATTGAAATGGTAAAGACACTCAGGACAAGCTCAAGTGATGTTGTATTTTTGTATCAGGGCAGAGAGGCCAAAAACCACACCCTGTGTAGCAACTTGTTCCCTTTTTAGCTCTACCCTCAGCTGATACTTTTATTACATGTACATTGACACTCGTTACATGTAGGTGTTTTAGCCGATAGTGAAAGTGAAGATGAGAGCAGCGAAGATGAAAAAAGGAGAAAAAAGGAGAAGAGGTCCAGCAAGAAAAAGAAAAGAAAATCACGTCATAAGAAGAAAAGGTGACAATAAGTTTAATGATTTAAATTATTACCTAATTCATACAATGTCTAGATGCTTTGATCCAAACTATCAGAGGTCAGTTGGAAAGTTAGATACACTGTATAAGTCTCATAAAATGCACATTTTTAATGCGACTTGGGCCGAAACAAATCTGTAGACTTACCCACAGGGTGTAAAATGCGAGGTTAAGTAAGTCAAACTAAAACTTTGAGAAGTCCACCAGAAAGACTCAGTGCCTGGCATGCTGATTTACAATGTTGGGATGCATAGAGAGCCCGGGGGTGTGGGTACTTTAGGAATTTCTGGGTGGGGATGTGCCGCTGGGACCCTGGAACCCTTAACCTATACTAGAGCTAGTTAACCTACATTTTGCTACCCGATACTAGAGTAAACTCCCCAAATCCCCCCTATCCTAGAGTAGCTGTTTCCCTAGTCTAGATAAAATCTTCAACCAACTGATCAGTTTCCTGAAAAATGATACCCTTTTCTAGACCCAAAATTTAATGTTCTGATTTATATACCCAATCTTAGAGTAAACTGCTTGAAAACCATACCCTTCACAGTGGCACATACCTATATAGCCCATATATGGCAGTACCCCCCCCCGCCCCCCGGATGTAGAGTCAGTTGTACAGCTTGCCATTTGGGCAAGCTGTAATTTACAAACTGTACTATAGCATGTACTAGCCCAAGAGTCATTTTAACCAGCCTGAAAAAAAATTTGATTAGCAGGATTGATTACAGTTCTTCTGAATTTTAACTTCAAAATCCTGATAGCAAAATCCTGATAGCAAAATCCACTAGCCCTGGGCTAATCGGACATGCCTTTCTTTGCACGCTGAATCTGTGGTTCCAAAAAGTATCCATACTCACCCGCTGGCACTCATTGGAATTTACGAGGGGTAGCAGTCTCATACACTAGCGTTTTTAAAGAAAATGATGACCCTATTGAAGTGGAATTTCTCGAGGGGAATGGGTAGGGGTCAAACCATTAAACCCTGTAGGTGAGAGTATGGATATTTTCTGGACCAACTTATTGTAACATACTGGTAATATTGGAAAAAGTAGTTGAGCGCTTTTGTTTTATGTTTCGTGATACATTGTATTATTTTTATCTTTCCAGCAAAAAGCATCGCAAAAGGAAGACGAGGCATAAGTCAAGCTCGGAAAGTGAAGATGAATCTGAAGGTATTCAGTGTGGTATTCGTTCCGCCCAGACGACAGTCGATTCACCCGATGACAAATAACACTTTACAACACAGCGTATCAGAAATGTTTTTTAGTTAAGCTTGGATTCCACTACTGCGATTGCTAAAAAGAGTCAAGCGATCTCGATGATCACATTCGAGAAATACTATAAGATTGTAAATAAAACTTAACTCTAAATGTACCGCCTCAGCGATCGCAACGATCGCTTAACGTCGATCTTTGATATATTTTGTGTGATGTGTAGTCACTGTAGTTCACGCTTATTCCATTTTTTCAAATAAAAATCTGGCGAATCGACTTACATCCGGGCGAAACGACCTGCTACCTTTAGTTAGAGGTTTTTTAAAATAACTGTATAACAAAATGGCAACGTTGTTGCAGCCCCATCGTTTGTTGGGGACGCGAATTTTATGTCATCAATTTAGAAAACGTTCATATGCCCTATTCACTTTAACATACACATACAAAATATATGTTTCAAACAAATTTTCTTACTTGAAAATAATGTGAACTGCGGGCTTACAGTATACTGCAGCGCTGACGCAGAGACCATGGGTTCGAATCCCGTGGAAGTCTCGAAATGTTTTCGGTTTTATTTGCAATTGCTTGAATAGCAATTACCACAGTGACGATCATATCTTCAATTTAAATTTTCTTACTCTTTCTTAATGCATATAGGATTTGATTTCATGAGGAAATTTCCCTCAGCACACTGCAACACATCATAGCCAGTTTTAGAACCCGTTTCGTGCAGGTCTGTACTTTTTAAGGGAGGTACTTATTGCAGCAAAAAGTTGTAACCTTATTTATCGGAGTTAGAAATTGTAAAATCTTTAAAAAAATCATTGAGCTATGGTGATTTACTCGACGGTCTTTTGGTGTCTTTTTCTACACAGAAGGAGATGCTGATGTCGAGTGGCAAGAGGCCTGGATTGAAAAGAAGAAAGGTTGGTATCGTAAGTGTAGTTGTACAATGGACTTTGTAAGCATTTGTATCCTTTCCTCCGACTTAAAGTTTAAAATGACAAGGAATTTATTTGTCAGAGAATTCTAATTTTAACGCCACAGACTAGAGTTTGCAACATCTTTAAATACATAAAGCCTTTGTCATTCACCACTTTCACATTGCCCATAATACACCTTTCTTACCCCACCCCCACCCCCCCCCCTCCGCAAAAAAAGTTTGCATACGACTTATTGTTTTCAATCTCTCCTCAGTATTAGTCGTCCCAAGGGAAGATAAAGGCAATGCTTTTTTGGGGGGTAGGGGTAAACAAGGTGTATTATAGGCAATGTGATATAATGGTGAATTCTGAAGCTCAGCGCGGAGGGCAGTTGCTTACAACGACTGTCGTTCTGTCAAACTCTTTCTTTTAACACCAGACATTTTCAATTACGTCCCTGATGAAGGATAAGGGTGAAAAGGGCGAGTTTTTCGCCCCCTTCCAAACAGAAGGCCTTTTTACAGATCAATTCTGAAGTTGCTTTAAATGGGAAAGCTTTATTCGTGGCACGCACTGCTCAGTTTATATTTATTTGACTGTTTGATTCTTAGACCAACTCAAAGAAGCTGATAATGGCGTTATAGGACCTGTACCACTGGTACAAGATGCAGCAAATCAGGATATCAGAGAGTAAGGGCAATTTAAATTTAAAACTAACGCGATTTAGAGGGAGTGACTCTCGGCCGTTTAGATCATCATGCGTTTCTGGGGAACTGCCCATCTGCCCTAAGTGAGAAGTAAGTGTTAATGTTGGCTTAGGAGAGGGGTAGGTGGGCAGTTTCCCAGAAATGTGTAATGACCCTTATCGGATCATCATACGTATATCTTCGCTCACTTTTAACGTATCGCCTTTAAACTTGGTAAACTTGGGGAGTTTCCTAATTTTAAGGTGCTATTTCCAGCAGTGTCAATGGATATTCGCCGACTAGTCTTAAACAAAACTCGAAAAAACCTTAGGGGTAAAGGTGTATCAGAATGTGCTTCACCAAGTCGCGTAATTTCAAAGACGTTTTTACGGTGGGCAAATGGATGTGAAAGAAATGTGTCTTAACACGAACCCAGCTACTTTGTGCTTTGTAACAAGCGGACAGAGACAGACTGAAAACGGTCGAGAAAAAATGGTGACGTAATGTTGTGAGACTGAGGCCTACTAGAGCTCTGTGCTATTCTCCCATCTTACGCGGCGCAGGGTAAACACAAAACCTTCTTTATTCGTCCAGTCTTCGGTAACGAGCCTGCGATCTCTGCCCCACAGACCACTAATTAAAACCAAACTAACCCTACAGAATGAGCTGACACTGTTGTTTTGCTTTTCGCTTAACTTGTTCCTTTGTTATCAGCTTTGGTGGTGCGCTGTTGCCCGGTGAAGGTGAAGCTATGGCCCAGTATGTCAAGGAGGGTAAAAGAATTCCTCGTCGTGGTGAAATTGGCCTCACCAGTGATGAAATTGCCACTTTTGAATCTTCTGGCTTCGTTATGAGCGGAAGCAGGTATGAATCCTTGTTTTGTGTTAGGCATATAAGACCTTTATATAAATAATTAATACGTTTCTGTTTAAAACCCAAATATTTTCTCCGTATTTTGGCGTTGTGCCCTCACAAAAAAAATTACAAACAGACGTTTTCGAAAACGCTAGAAATTTTCTGGGTTTTTTTTATTACTTTAATGTTGACGGGTAAAAAGAAAGGTTCTCGAAAACGCCGACATAACTACTCATACGCTACATGCTAATTTTAACAAGGGAACAGACGAGAGCGAAGCGTTTCTGACGAAAAGAAGCTCAATATTTGGAAAAAATGAACAGATAGTACATTAACTGGTATTTTTTACAACCTTGCCCATGTTCCACTTACTAGAAAATGAGAACTTAGCAAAAAAAGAATAACAAACGCCTTGGACTTTAGTCCGCGAAGAGCACATGTCGGAGCAAACGAAAACGTACCGTCAGATGTGCGTTTTTAATGGCTGATTGTGGACGGAGACGGTTTTTAAGCATTATGACGATCATGGCAACGGAAAAGTCACATTATGCTCGGAAATAATCGTGTCCATGATTATTTTGACGGTGTAAATTGAGCTTAAACCTCGGCCACAATTTTAATTTCTTAATTATGTAATGTTTTAAGACAGGTTTCTTCGATTATCATCATTATTGTCATTTTGTATGAATGGATGTATGTATTTATTTTATTTTCTATTCTCTCTTAAGACATCGTCGTATGGAAGCCGTCCGTCTGAGAAAAGAAAACCAGATTTATAGCGCTGATGAGAAGTAAGTTATTTTGTGTCTATTTACCCTTTTAAAAAATTTGTTTGTCGCATACAGGTATATACGACGTGCAGTTAAGCATCACTTTAGACGATGCGTTTATGAGTTTACAGTTGTACTTGTAGTCCAGGTAAAACCGCAAAATAAGGGCAATTTTGTGAAAGCTACTACCGTGCGGTATAGCTATTTGATAATGTACAGGTGGTTCTAACTTTTTTATCTGTGTACGAAATACTTGAGTGTGACCATTCAAATGAAAGCTACTGATCGTTACCTTCCTTTGTTGCTTTTTATTATGCTGTACATGGTGGTTCTCATTTTTCCAAATTTTGGAGTGTGTGGATGAAATCCTGTAGAGTGTCCATTCAAATAAAAGCTACTGAGTAGTACTTACCTCTGGTGCTATGTTTTATGCTGCACGCGGAAGTTCTAACTTTTCAAGTCTCTGGACGATATACTAAAGTGTGACCATTCCGTGAAAGCTACCTAGCAGTCCTTTCTGATGTTTCCATTTTTATCAAGCTTTGAATACAAAATGGTAAGGAATATTGATTTCTCATTTCCTTATCTTTTTCTCCTAGACGAGCATTGGCCATGTTTAATTACGAAGAAAGATCAAAGAGAGAGAACAAGATATTATCCGACTTCCGAGAGATGATTCACCAAAAAATCAACAACAAGAAATGAACTGTAAACCATAATTTTCCATTCGCTCACCTTCTGTCATCTCCCATCCTGCATATTGAATTTATTAGTATTATTATTATTATTATTATTATTATTATTATTATTATTATTATTATTATTATTTTAATTTGACTGTCGGACAGCAAACAGCTAAAATTGTACAACGACGGCGACGGCTACGATAACGTCACTTAAAAAGTGAAGTCGCGCTACTTCAAACTTTATCTCACTTATTCCAACTCGCTCAGTTCGTCAAATGTTGGCAAATTTTTCTGGAGTTGAATTCTAAAAGACTGTATCAAAGTTCAGGAAAAGAAAAAGAAAGTCGTTGTCTTGTGTTCACGTTCTCGACAAAACGTGAAATTAGGCACTTTCAGGTTGTAGTGCAGCCACGGCAAAAAAGTGTACAAAAAAGCTTGATACACGTGCAAAGTTGTTGTTTTGCCAATCTAAACCTATTGCTTTTTTCTATTCCGTTCTCGTTGCCTTCGCCTTAGTCGTTGCTTAAGGTCTCTATTCTAAGTCGGAGAAGGAGGACCCAGCCCAGCAGAGCAACGCCGAAAAAGATGCATTCCCATCATCGTAGGCATGACGACGTTAGTATGTTAACTCTAGCTATAGTCTTTAATTTAGGCCATTTCCGAGTTGTCCTAAGCCTCTATTTCAAAGCGAGGCTAAGTGCGAAGTCATTGATGTGAAAAATATTTTTTATTCTCATGCAAATAACAGGAAAGGTGGTGCACTTAGCCTCTTTTTGGCTTATTATCTTTTGTTCGCGCCCATTTTTGTGGATTTTTTACCTCTTGCCCCGATTGACTACCCCTTAGGTCTACGAGATCGCCCTAAAGCGCGGTCACTAGTCACTAACGAAAGTCATAAGCTTAGAGTTTCTTCTAAGAATCTGGCATCATATAAACGTAAAACAGATTGGTTTGATTTTTACGTTCGTTAAGCTAGCATCCTAGAAGAGAAACCTGTTTTTAGGTCTCTTCGTGAAGCGCTTTTTTTATCTCTGTGGTGTTTCTGAATGACCACGTGCTTTGAATATGAAATCCACCCCCGTATTCTCGTCACAAATCTAAATTTCGATTGGTTGAGAGGAGCACTGCTAAAACACTATATTTGCAGAGGAACAAAACCATGCATAGGTAACATGGGAAGGTTACAAAGCTAACGAGAAGACTCATGGGAAGGCCCCAAGGTACTTTGTTCACTTTGTAAATTCTAAGTTCTTGTTTTCTACCACGATGATACTGTTTCCAGTCGTTACACAAGGAACTTCTCCCTGATGCGTGTACTAGCCTATTGTGAACTTATTTTACGTCAATAGACAATGATAGCTGCAATGATTGTATGCACGGGTCGTAAAACGATGAAATGTAGTATATAATATTCGATTTTCATTTGGTACTTGTAAATGCATATGTTTTAAGTAATAAAGAACCCATAAAAAAACAAAGAGTTCTTGGGGTTGATCAAGTAGTCCGTTGAAGTTTTGGTGCCACTGTACTTGCTGTAGATTAATTACAATAAGAAAAGTATAGTTTGTTTATTCGGTGGATTGGTTAAGTTCCATCACTTGTAAATATATATCTGAAGTAACTCTTCGAGAACAAGAAAATATTATAATACACTTTGTATCACTAAGGTTGATAGTGCAATTGAATTTTATCTTTTGTATGTTCAGTTTTTGTTTTTG